GCACAGTCTGCTGCAGGAGCTCCCCATGCCCGCATTCCCGTGTACTTACAGAAACTGAGAGACACACGCACACATACGGACCTGCACTGTGCAGAATACACTGTAGACCAAATTGTAGGCCCAGGGCAGCTGGGCAGGTGCAGCAGGGCTGGGTATGACAGGGGGGAAGGCAGGGACATCAGACAGGGTAGGTACTGTGCCAGAGACAGGCGTGCCAGGGAAGGTAGGTACCCATCCACATCCATGATCCTGGAGATGTCCCATCCAGTTTTTAGCTCAAGAGATTTTCTTACTCTTCCGCTCCGGCTTCCCACCATCCCACCACCGGACCGTCTCTTGCTTGCTTGCTCTTGCTTGCTTGTGCGTGCGTGCGTTGCCTGCTACTTGCTTGCACTTGCTCGTGTTTTTCTGCACTGTTTCGTTATTCTTTTGGGCTCTGGGCTGTCTTTTTCGCGCTGCCTTGACCACTTTCTCCTTCGCGCCTTGCCTTACAAGCACAACCTAGGTAGCATCTGCCGAGCTGTGCCTTCCCTTCCTTGTCCCGTCAGGCTCTCTTAGCGATCTCCGTTACGTTTAGTTGGCCGTGCTTGGTTGCTCCTGGCACGCGCAAAAGCCTCCGTCGTGCGCTTAATTTTGCTCAGTCACTCGAAGTCGTGTTCTCACACTCCCTTGGGCTACGACCAGACCAGACCAGACCGGATCAGATAGGACCATCATCCCAGGTACACACACTCTGCTCTCACACACACCTACGCACTCCTGGGCACACGCACTCGCACACGGCCACTGCCACCAGACTTACGCTTCCCCCTCCCAATCCATCCGGATCTATCCTGCTCCTGCCTCTGCCTTCGCCCTTCTCTCCCCTTCTCTCTTCTTCACCCCCCCACCTCCAACCTCCCATCATCACGAACGCCTCTCGTTGTGCAATCTTTCGTCTCGCGATCTTGTCTCCCGCCTTGAGCGTTGCTTGTACAAGCATCCTTTTTGTGTGTTGTGTTGTCATTGTTGCCTTTTGTCGACCGTATCCCCTTGGCGCAAAATTCATCAGATCAAATCATCATCCACTTCTTGTTGTGCCCTGATTTGCGCCCTCCTCAGCGACCAGGCTTCTGCTCGTCGTGACCATCCATCCTACCTTGCCCCGAGCTGTCAGCCCATTCCAACTCAACACAACGATCCAGAATCGTACGAGTCTATCTTCGCGCAGTATCACGAAAATACAACCTATGTTCTGCGGCTAACCACGACTTGCGATCCGACCGCCAGCCTTTTCCCCGACCGGCGCATTCCACTGCCCGCACTACTTTTTGCGACACATCCTCCGCGCCTCTCCTAGTCTTAGCTCCGTTCGAACTTGCGCATACGCATCCGAGAGCCGCAGTCCCTCGGCGCGATTCGATATCCTTCCATCAAAAATTACAAAGGCTATTGTCGTCTCTTGGCCAACATATCCGAGGCGTTTTCGGCCCGCTCATCTGTCTGCCACACCGGTAGCTGAATCATTTGTTCGTCGAATCTCATTCTCAAAAGCGGCAGACTGCTTGAATTGCTGTCTTGCAGCCAAGGTAAGTCTTTGCATTGTTTTCAATTCTTTTTTCTTTTTGTACGTCTGTCACCCGCATTTGTGTGTGCGTCATCGCGAGATCCCGGACATCTGGACCGTGTTCGTCGATTCGGTCCTGGACGTGTGGAGCTTAGCTCTGCGCATTCGCGAAACCCGACCCGGATTCATCGCGCAAATCGAGGCCAAAGGACCCATCAGACAAGGAAATATCCGCGACTCATAGGTCGCATGTTTGCGACACCGTGACCATGTCGACTTCTTGCCTCGTGTCTGCACCTAGGGATAGTTTTCGACATTTGCGGCTGGGCTGGACTTGCCTGGCTCCACTTGATATTGTGTCGGTAGCGGTGCTTGGGGACAGTTGGATACCTTGGTAGCCAAGTGCCAACTTCGCGTTAAAAAAGAATTGTCGTGCGGGAAATTCGATGGCAAACCCAGCAAGCAGAGCAGGATCAGGGGGCAGCAGTGCATGACAAGACTCGCAAGCTGTGCCTCGGCAACCACGGCGCACAACCGAAGCAAGACACAACCCCGACTGCGACAACCACTACTAGGCACGAGCGCACGGAATAGCAGCGATGTGACTTGGAGGCGGTGACGAGCTGTGCGATACAGCGGAACAGCCTTGGCTTCGGACAAAGACGTGGCCTCGACACCCGACATTGCTGCTGTCGGTATCCTGAGTACAGGTTTGGAAGAGCTTGAAGAACAAGTGAAGACTGATTCCGACGGGGATCTCTGGCGATATTCTCGGGAGTTCGATCGGGGCACGTCTTGCATTGGACATCTGAAAAGCCGACCTAGCCATGGAATGCTCTATTTGAGTTCATGGCTTTCAACGCTCCACGGCGACATGGATCAACTGACAGATGTGTCCATGTCCGGCAACCAAGGCTTCGTTGGCTTTCGGGGCTTGGCTCTGATCTCGGGGCGCCTGCGCGTTATTGCGGCACGAAGACAGGACCGTACCACACGGATGGTATGCGCAGCTACCGTGCCCCGCGTTGGTTCGCCTCAAGGTGCTGTGAGCACGAGAAACCACAGCATGAGGAACATATCTCTCTGTTGGACCTGCCGTCTTCAGGCGTCAATAGTAGTTGATGCTTGCCGATGCACTGGCTGTCATCTTCGCGACTCGCCACGTACAAGCATCGTGTCTATCGTTTATGCGATTCCGTGGATTGGACATGGGACGCGACTCTCCGTCTGCCGCCGATGGAACGGAAACCAGGGTTGCATCTACTTGACAACTTCAGCAAGGGAAACAAGCCATGGACTGGATTGGAGCCTCTCTAGCAGTCCACAGCCTTTGAATGATCGCACCGCCTCCTTTACTGTAGTTGGGGGGTTTCCACCACCTTGGCTCGGGGCTCAACCCACGGATCGTTTCGGCCGGCGACGTCTTCCTCGGACGATGCAGAGGCTCGGACTGCCTCGATCCTGGTGGTCGTGTGCATCCTGCTGACTGTTGCCGGACTGTGTCTCTGGACTCGTGTTTTTTTCTTACGATTGTCTTGTCGAATCTTGGGTGGTTCTGCGTGCCTTAGCTAACATAAGCGGTTCAGTTACCCTCTGCCGACACTCGATCTAAACCGTTCTTCGGGAGTGATCGCAGTCTTCTTCGACCCTAGCCTCATCTCTGGAGCCGTGTCTACCAGCATTGTCTCGCTTAAGTCTTTCGAACAAGACTTTGTTTCCAGGCGTGTGGCGTCACCGTATTCAAAAGTCGCTGATTTCGTATCTCTGGAGTCATTCGACATCAGCTCCTTATCGGATTTGAAATTACTCCCCTGTTACCCTGGTAGGTAACAGCCTTTCCATTCTCCTCTGCCATTGCGATTCGCCCACCGCAAGCCATACGATTTACACCAATCACACTCTGTATTTTGTAAAAGTCGTTGGAATATCGGCCACATGCGAGGGCTGGATTTCGTGACGCGTTGCGCGGCGAGTGTGTGTGAGATCTCGTCCGGGGATGTTTGCTTGGCAAGTGCTAAGTGGTTCAATATGGCTCATCGCCAGTCTCGGGGCCGTCCTTTCTGGCTTGGTCGTGTTGCTTGTCCTGCTGGACCTGCTGGGTCGTGAGGTGTCCTGCGGCAACTTTGTATGTCTTGAAGACGTTCAGAGGTTAATTTTGATTTCTAGCTTTCAAAACCCAATTGACCGACACCGAAACGACACGGACTATTGAAGTTCGACCATCACTTTTAATAAGTCAAATTCTCAAGATCCTGAAAGGTATGTGGGCGACTGTTTTGACTCCTTGCCTCTCTGAGCTACTTGAACTGACTTTGTAGCAGACGGAAACCTCGATTAACATCACCAATCAACCCCCTTTCTCTGCCAGTAAGTGATATGTGCTTAATGTCCTTGAATTTGGTCCATGACTTCTATCTCGTGAAGCGGCTTCTCATTCTATCCTTGACCTTTGTCCGCGGAATGTGTCGACAATGACCGTGTGTGCATTGGTTGGGCCTGGGAATGCACGAGACAGAGTGATAGGCTGTCGAATGAGTAACAAGGCCCATCACAATGGAAAAGTTTCCGCAACTCGTGACCCGATATTTACATGGTGGTTCTGCCGTTCCAAGTGGGAGTATTGCTCACGAAGCAGTCTTGTTGCTCCAAGGTGGACAAATATAAGTCTGGTGCTGCACTGCTGTGGGCGGAGTTCTCAGTGAGGATCCGGCTCTATACCCGCCCATCAGACTGCTTTGAAGGTTCTGCCTCCTTCTCAACACCGGCTGCCACGTCTCCAGACGTCTCCTCCAGAATCACAAAATATTTACCCATCACTTTCACGCCCGGCTCCGCATTCCACCTTTCAACCCTTAAGACTCTTGGGCGCTTTGCAGACAGACAGCCTGCTATCATCCAGTCTTTTGAGCCCTCACAGCTTCCAGTTTTCAGATCTTTTCCCCCTGGGGACTTACTGAGGAGCTTTTCTGGCAGCTGCCTAACGGAACTTCTTTTCTTCTTGCCCTTAATCACTCCTAATCTCGAACTCGAACCTCTTACCTGCCTTACTCCCCAGCAGTTTGAGTAGTGATTCTGCTCCTACCAAACTTGCCTTGCCCTACTCAGCAGCACTGATCTACGACGTCGACACTCGCACAATATTCCTCGTCAGAGTTTTGGCGCAGGCTCTTCTGTTCTGGCACACGGGGACATTCCTAGCCTCACTTTTTCACTGCCTTCAGCACAACACCCTCCACAGATCAAAACAACGTCACCCTCTTATGATCGGTGTCACGGTCTTCCATTTGCGTTACCCTCCAGCCTCTCCTTCCACAACTTCTGATTTATCCCCTTGCCGCTCGAAACGCTTGTTCATTTCTCTTTTTCGACACGCTCTACCATCACAGACGACCATCCTCGCCTTCCTCTACTATTCTGGTACCAGGGGATCGACAAGAAGCTAACTAGCGCAGATATGTCCTTCCCTCAGAACAACAACGGCCTTCCCGACGGCTCCACGCCCATTAACGGTGGCGGCATGGACGGACAGTTTCCCCCTGCTCCTGCCATGCAAGGCCCTCCTTCTGGTCAGAACCAGGCGAGCGAATCTGCTCGTACCCTCTGGCAAGCCCCCTCTTCGTTGACACGCGATGATGACGTACTAACAGCGTTGACAATAGGATGGGAGAGCTTGACTCGTGGATGGACGAGCAGTTCATTAAGAGCCTTTACCAGAATCAGACTGGCGACGTCGTGAACGTGAAGATCATCCGCGACCGCGGCACTGGGTAAGCTCGTCTCTTTTCCTGCCACTTCCAACGATAACTTCCATGGTTTCATCATGCAATGTTTTTCATTTTGCTCAACATTCGTAACTGTTTCGACATCTTTGCCTGGGATACTTTCCCTTCGTCTCCTGCCTTCAGCATTTTGGCTACTTCCTATCGCGTTCTGCGGACACTCAACATCTGGCCCTTCAATCGGTGTTAATGCTGGGCTTTGGGGCTATTGGAGCCTTGTGCTTTAACTGTTTGAGTTGATTACTGACTGTCGTGCTTCAGCAACGCCGGCTACTGCTTTGTCGAGTTTCCCACGCCCGAATCCGCCAACAAGGCCTTGACCCTCAACGGCACTCCGATTGCCGGCTCCAACGGTCGACACTTCAAGTTGAACTGGGCTTCTGGCGGCGGCTTGGTTGACAGACGGTTCGTTGCCCCTCTCGCAACCCTTGTTCCTACCTGGCAAAGACTGACCGATACAATTCAGCGATGAGCGCGGCCCAGAGTTCTCGATCTTCGTCGGGGACCTCGGCCCGGAGGTCAACGAGTTCGTCCTCGTCTCTCTCTTCCAGGCTCGTTTCCCGTCTTGCAAGTCCGCTAAGATCATGACGGATGCTACCACCGGACAGTCGCGCGGTTACGGGTTTGTGCGCTTCGCCGACGAGGGAGACCAGCAGCGAGCTTTGCACGAGATGCAGGGCGTGTACTGCGGCAACAGGCCCATGCGTATTAGCACTGCGACTCCGAAGCAGCGGTTTGTCTCGCCCGGTTTAGTCCATCGCTGAGAATATCTACTAATGTCATTCCCTTCAGTAGAAACCAAAACCCCTACAACGGTGGTGGCCATGGCCAGATGATGGCGAACCCAATGCAGGCTGGCATGGGTTGGGGCATGCCTCAGCCTGGACCGTTCTATGGTGGTGGCGGCGGCGGTTACCCGGGTGCTGGCATGGGACAAGCTCCTATGAACCAGTTCACTGACCCGAACAACACTACTGTCTTTGTCGGTGGACTGTCGGGCTATGTCACCGAGGACGAGTTGCGTTCCTTCTTCCAGGGATTTGGCGAAATTACCTACGTCAAGATCCCTCCCGGAAAGGGCTGTGGCTTCGTTCAGTTTGTCCACCGTCACGCCGCCGAGATGGCGATCAATCAGATGCAGGGATATCCTATTGGGAACTCTCGCGTCCGCCTTTCTTGGGGCCGCTCGCAGAACAACTCTGGCGTGGGTACTCCTTACCGTCCTGCTCCTCCTCCTCCTCATTACGGCATGACGCCTCACGGTGGTCCTGGCCCTTACGGTCCTCACCACTTTGGTGGTGGCAATCCTCCTCCTCCCCCGATGGCGGTGAGAATCTTCCCTCTGCCCCCTCGCCCCATTTCTCATTATACTAGAATACTTGGCTGACCCATTCTGTCGCAGTAAATCGCGTCCTGCTTCAGCCGTGACATTGCCTTGATGCATCGCAGAAGGCGTTGGGCGTGCGGCGTTTCGGCTGACAAAAAGTCACGATGATATCCGGAGTTTACACTCCTTGTACCGGTTTTCCTTTCTTTCGTTGCGGACCGCTTTCGTCAACTGCTGCACGCGTCGAGATACCCCTTGAGTTCTTGCAAGTTACCGTACCGGATGCTCATTGCGTTCTGCCGTTCTGGTTATGCTTGAACCGATTCTCGACATTCCTTCCTTGAAAGCAGTTCTTCCAGCTGTCACGATCGTTTCTATGGTCACTTTGCCCCCTCTGGACGACACGAATTCTCACGACAACCCCTGACTCGAAAGTCTTCACGATCGATCACGAACATCACAATGCCACGATTTCTCAATGACTTGGGCGGAGTGGAGGACAGGAGTGTTGGCGATGTGGCGTTCCAGCTCAGCAGGCATCAAGGCGAAAAAACAAAAAGAACTCTCCTTGCACGAACATCTTTCTATTTTCCGAAGCATTGTCTATGCAGCTTGGACCCTTCCCAATGCTCTTTCCGCGCATGGAAAGGGACCAGCCACTGGCATGCAGGCGAATATTCTAGGGGGATTTGTATTATTCTTCACATTCAGTCAGGTAGTGCGTTGAGGGCGGCGGTGTAGCTGCTCTCTATGGCGTTGATTTCATCTTCGTTCAATTGCGTCGATGGACTCGAAATTGATGAGTTCTGATTTTCTATACATGTCTTCGATCCGAGTCAAGTAGCGTGCGTTTGACTTGTTTTCTGCCCTTTTTCTCAATACCCCAGCGTCGTCTTTCCGTTGCGCTCTTCTGTGTCGTCTAGCTTTGCGATTCACTGAGCGATCCCTTCTCTCTGCCCATCCTGTAGATCAAGAGAGCGCAGAGCGGTCTTTTCCTTCTTGTTCCGCGCGCGTAGACTTTTGGGTCGAAAGTTCTCTGGACTGGGGGAAAAACATGTATAAAAGCTGCACTGAGACTGGAGTGAAATCTGATTCAAGGGGCACGTAAGTTGGTCGGTCATTCATTGGCTGAAACCTCGGAGTGCCAGGAGCATCTCGTACGGAACGATGCATAGGGTTATTGTACCTGGCAATCCGATGAGGGGAAAAAGTGGCGTTGACTACATAAACCGTGCGGGCCTCGCGGGTTTTCAGGCGTCGGTGATACATTGGGTCTGTGATTGTGTCGGAGTCAATTCTCGGCTTGGATGTGTCGAGGGGGCAGCCCAGCGGCTCTTTGATCCCCAGTTCATCGAGGAATGGCGATGAAGGACAAGACTTTCAGGATAGCAGAGGCAAATATAGGATATTACCGTCCGCTATCGCTTTGAATGCGGCTGCAATTCGTGAATAGACGGGAAGCAGAAAGAAAGTGCAGCGAGCTTTCGGAATAAATCTCTGGATGGAGCAAGTTTTGGTGCAGGTTTTCTAAAGGAGAGCGAGTCCTGCAAAATGCTCTTGCCCTTCCGTACGGTCTGATAGATGAACTCAGGCGATCTGACTATTTCTGAAAGAGAGGCGTGAGGACGGTAGAGATATTCGGCGAGACCGTACTCGGAGCTTCGGCTCTCTACGCTTTACGAAACCTTGGCCGCAAAGCAGCAGAATTTGTGAACAAAGTTGCTCTAACAGTTTGGTGTCTGGATTTAGAATTTTTGTTGCAACATCATAGCCAGACAAGAGGTGACAAAAGCTGGTTGGAATGCAACATGCTATCTGATGTAGAGAAAATTACAAAGGCAACATCCTGGGCATTGGTAGTCGAAAGGCCAGAGGAGGTAGGCAGAGGTCACTTTACATCCTCGGATGGCGGTATCTGGCCAGGGGACCTTGCGAGACCGCGAAGATGATATCTACCAGAAGTAAACATAGACTTGGTCTTATTTTCGCGCTTAGATTGGCTTCAATGTGGTCACGAGGCTAGGAACTTCCTCATTGGGAGCATGGACGAGGCTGGCAGCATTGTTGCTTGCAGGAAGTGGGCGGCAAGGGCTTGACATGGGATGAAAGGTCTTGTGGTTGCAGCGAGGCTGGGCGCTAGTGTGTGGCCTGGGATGGGACATTATAGATCTATGACATTGGAGGACTGCTGTTGTGGCAAGGCGGATTTAACTTGTACTAAACAGCTATGGTAAATATACCTAGATCCTGGACAAGGGCAACTGGTTTGGGTGGTGATGATGGCTTCAGACAAGAGATTGGAGTCTCGAGTCTAAGGAACTCTTTCGATCACAGCACAGGTGAGAACACAGTGGAACAGGCAATTTTTAGCAAAATAAATTAACCTTGAAAGATGACAGTCGTGTCGGCTCTTCCCTCCTTGTCCAACATTCGAGAAATGGCAACCCACACGGCCTGGAAAAAGGATGAGGTCGTTCATACGGACAGATTCACATGCGGCTCTTGACGCGTTGCTGATCGCTAACTCACTAACAGCTGAGCGGCATTGAGAGCGGGAAAGGCGATAGCGTGGTAAGGCGGCTCTAATGACTTGGCGCGAGCAGCTTTTTTCTCCAGCAGCTCGGAAGAGGGTTCTGCAGAGCCTTTGGGCCGAGTCTGGAGCGAGCGGCGCAGAGCAGTAAGCCGAGCAGCTCCGAATTGGTGGATCCCTGTGGCCAGCCATCGACCACCACCAGGCCGATAGCTATCGTCAATTTGTTTTCTCTGCGGCATTTGCAGGCCTAATTCTGTCTGTCTTGTCTTCCCATACCTACTCTACATTCAGTCCGTTCGTCTTCTTCTTTCACACCCCACTCTACTCTTCCTCACTCTCCTCTCCGCCGCCGGTTTCCTTTGTGTGTGCGCCCGCCTGATCTGTTTGCTGGACAGCGCTCGACGACGTCACTGACCCCTTCGACTGTCCATTCCTTCGAAGCCGCCAACTTGCCGACTCGTCCTCCGTTCACTCCCGAGGTCCAGCCGAATCCCCTCAGCCAAGATGCTTTCCAGAAACTCGACCCGAGGGGCCCAGGTGAGCCACGCCCAACAGACTTGCGCCGAACACTGTCCGCGCCGTCTTCTAGCTGCCACAGTCGCTGACACGAGTATCCTCACCCCAGAGCCTCCTGCGAGCAGCCTCCAAGCAGGCCCAGCCCTCAGTCGCCGCGCGATCCTACGCGACCATCCAGAACGATGTCTTCAAGCCTGCCAAGTATGGCGGCAAGTACACGGTGACCCTGATTCCCGGTGACGGTATCGGTTCCGAGGTGGCAGAGAGCGTCAAGACCCTCTTCAAGGCAGACAACGTGCCCATCGAGTGGGAGCAGATCGACGCATCCGGCCTCGACAACAGCGTGAGCGGCAGGTCGGCCGAGGACATGTTTAAGGAGTCTGTCGCCTCGCTGCGCCGCAACAAGCTCGGCCTCAAGGGTATCCTGCACACACCCCTCGAGCGCTCCGGCCACAAGTCCTTCAACGTCGCCATGCGACAGGAGCTCGACATCTACGCCTCCATCTCCCTGATCAAGAACGTCCCCGGCTACGAGACCCGCCACAAGGGCGTCGACATGTGCATCATCCGTGAGAACACCGAGGGTGAGTACTCGGGCCTCGAGCACCAGTCTGTCCAGGGCGTCGTCGAGTCGCTCAAGATCATCACCCGCGCCAAGTCGGAGCGCATCGCCAAGTTCGCCTTCAGCTTTGCGCTGGCCAACAACCGTAAGAAGGTTACCTGCATCCACAAGGCCAACATCATGAAGCTCGCCGACGGCCTGTTCCGATCTACCTTCCAGCGCACCGCCGCCGAGTACCCCACCATCGAGGCCAACGACATGATTGTCGACAACGCCTCCATGCAGTGCGTCTCCAAGCCCCAGCAGTTCGACGTCATGGTCATGCCCAACCTGTACGGTGGCATCCTGTCCAACATCGGCGCCGCCCTCGTCGGTGGCCCCGGTATCGTGCCCGGCTGCAACATGGGCCGCGACGTCGCCGTCTTCGAGCCCGGCTGCCGACACGTCGGCCTGGACATCCAGGGCAAGGACCAGGCCAACCCCTCGGCGCTGATCCTGTCGGGCAGCATGCTGCTGCGCCACCTCGGCCTCGACGACCACGCCAACCGCATCTCCAAGGCCATCTACGCCGTCATCGCCGACGGCAAGGTCCGCACCCGCGACATGGGCGGCGAGTCCACGACGCAGGAGTTCACCAAGGCCATCCTGAACAAGATGGAGACCGTGTAAGCTGGCTAAAACCATACGGGTCTGAGAATACCAGAGACCATAAAGAAGATTTATCATAAGACCAACTGCGAAATTCTATACAGATTGGAAGTAGGGCAGAACGCCCAGTTGGGAGGGGTGTGCGGCCGTGTGCAGTGCCGCGAGGCATGCGCAGGCGAGGGCTCGTCGGTAGAATGACACGGTGCATGGTGGGCGTCGGGTGGTATTTTGCGCCTGCAGGATAAGAATACCGTGTATAAATAGGACGTCCATATATCAATGCATTGCAATTCTTCACGAAGTTGTTGGAGAGGGGAGTGAAATGGGCGAGTGGGTTGAATTACTGAGAACCTGTAGGTCAGTCGGTCGGGTCTCGGAGTATTTCAGCTCTCAGGCTGCCAATTGGTACCCCAAGATAGAAAAGAGCCCTACATGACTCCATATAGACACTCGTTACACGCAAAATTGTAGAAGTTCGGCTCTTGTTTTCCTGTTGCGTGCCTTCGTTCGTAATCATTGAGCATACAAGAGCACCGCGGTCAGAAGACACCTGGACCCGAACATGGTGGACTTGCAAGAATCAGTAGTCACCTTATAATATTTGCATCGCACCAATTAATGTTTTCATACCTATAAATCGCTGACTCTCATGTCGAGAAGCAAAAAGAAGTAGAGGGAATGTGTATCGTTGTCGAGAAGACACCGGCAGCCCGGGACTTGACCTTACCAGACCTGACGTAAGCAGATTTCAGGCCTGCAACCGCTCGACGCGGCTTCTGAGCCGCCGTCTCGTGGCCGACTCGGGGGCGAACATGGAAAGGAGGCGTGCCACTCAAGGCAAACCAACTGATGACGACAGCTACTGTGTCTCCTTCTTTATATTAACAATCATCTTGGCAGTCTTTTGTGCTGATCTTCTTCGTGGGAGCTGCATGGGACGGAACACTGCAACAGCAATCGCATCGCTGTCGAGCTTCCACAGCTCACAGTTGCTCTCACACCCCCCGCCGTCCATCTCACAACCACCTACCATCACCGACTCTGCGTCTATGAATCAGGGTGCCCGGCAATAACATGGCATCCACCGAACAGAGAGAGCTCGAGCTCGTGGACAAGGTCAATTTACGTATTCTCAATGTCGCAAACGACGCCCCCAAACTCACTCAGCTGCTGAAGCCCTACCTCCCGGCCCTGCTGCTGAAGGCTGGCAGCGAGCATGCCTCCGTTCGCGCGAAGGTCGTCACCATCTGCCAGCGGCTCAAGGTCTTCATCAAATCTCCCGATGTCGTCCTGCCAGTTGCAGCCCTATTGGACCAGTACATCAGCAACAGCCATCCCGTCGTCCGGCAGCTGGACGTTACCTTCATCCAGCACAGCATAGAGAGGATCAGTGCCGACGAGAGGAGGAAGCTCGTGCCAACCATCTTGAACGGCATCCATGCAACAACTCACACCACCCCCGCCAGATTCAACATGTTCCTGCACACCCTCAAGGACATCAACATCCCACCCAGAGGCAGCAAGGAAGACGAGGGCTTCCGACAAGAGGTCGGCCTGACAGACGGCAAGGACGCCGAGTTCATCGCAAAATGGCTCGGCAATCTTCTACTGACCCCAAGCCCGCATAAGAAGCCGCCAGGCCTGACCGACGAAGACATGGCCTTCCTCACGCTGGGCAAGCCAGGGGAGCCAAAGCCCGAGGGAACTCTGGTTGTGGACTGGCCCGGAACCATGATCAAAGCTGCCAAGCTTCTGGAGAGTGGTGCATTCACGGACGAGGAGCGCTTCATGCCCGCACTGTATGCTGCCGCGAGTAACGATTGGCGCATCAACTCTGTGGGGAACGCCATGTTGATGAGAAATCAGGTGTCCTTGGAGGATGGAGGAAGGGCCAAGCTTCTCTTTGAGGCCCACGCTCGGTTACCACCTATGTATCGGATACGCATCCTGGGCTTACTGTCCAAGTCAGCACTGTCAACGACGTTCACGCAAGACATTCTGGATGTCGTACGGCGGGACATCAAGCCCAAGGACGAAGCTGTGGACGGACTTCAGCTGACCAAGCTTCACAAAGCACTCTTCGAGTACATCAATTGGGTTGCCCGCATCGGCCCAGGTAAAGGGAAATTTGATATCGGCCCAACACTCATTGAATTGTTACGAGGTTTCATCACTGAGGAACAAGGATGGCCGAAACCAAGCCAGGAGAAACGAGCGCTGGATCCCCTTGACGACAGAAATCTTCGTGCAAGGGCATACGAGACCATTGGAGTGCTGGCAAGGGGTTCGTCGATGGAACAGGCCAACCTGCTGGAATTGGTCGCCTGGCTTTTTCGGTCGCTCTCGGAGGACCCAACGCCCGAGGTCGTGGTCAACATTGAGGGCGCTTTATCAGTCATGACATCGATATTCAAACCCGACAGTGGAGAAGTCGATAGGCTACGGACCATAATCCTGACATACATGACACTTGCCGATGGCGGAGATTCTGTGAGGAGCGTACGACACGCAGCTACAAAATGGGCAAACCAGTGCCTCGCATTTTCAGACCCTATAGCAAGGTGGGTCGATATCCTGGCTATCAACGGCCGTGGCGAGGAGAGGATGGAAGTCATTGAAGAGGGTCGAAAGGGCCTGGATCCCTGGACATACAGAGTCAACGACGCGACGGTCACCAATGACCTACCCGACTGGCAACAGCTGGTCCAGACCTTCTTCAGGGAGTCTATTGGGTATGGTGCTTCCGCCATGATGTCAGACGGGCCGTCCATCACGCAAAACTTTGTCGACCTAGCCCCGAGCGCGCTCCCTACTGCCATCACGTACTGCAAGCGGATGCTGTTCCTCGCAGCGCTGAAGGACGAGTTCAATATCGAACCGGGCTGGGAGCAGCAGTTGGACACCCTTGTGAGGTCTGATAAACAGACGAGGGAATCCATCCGCAAATACTTGGGAAAGGAGAGCGGACATGCATTGGAATCCTTCTTGCACGCCGCCCTCGAGGGAATCCAAGAGGACAAGGCCACCACGGAAGAGTGCGCGCGCAGCTTTGTTGAAGTTGCCTCTCTGGCGCCCAAGTCGGAGCTGACACCTCTGATTCTGGAAGGCATACCGAGGCTGTTGGCAGTGGTTACCTCGAACAAGAAGGAAGTTCGAAATCTTGCTGCGAGAGCTCTTGGCATCCTTGCTGCGCATCCATCTGTCCCCTCGTCATTGTTCAATGTCATCAACTACGTGCTGCGCCAACAATGCCAATCATGGCGAACGGCTGTAGGTGCTGAGATGAACGCTGTTCAAGGAGCGTTCGTTGCGTTGGGACACTTGTGGTCTCGCGCTGTGTATTACCCACATCCTATTCTTGTGGGGGGCAGTGATGGCCCAGATGCGGGCAACGAGGTGAGATTTGTCAATTGCAGAAGCACACATGAAGCCAGTATAGTTCACTGACAGAGAACAGAATGCCTCTCTTGGCGACACAACCCTGTTGCAAGAGCTTAGAAGCAAGTACCTCAAGGGAAGCGACGCGCCGCACACGACACAACCAAAAGCGGAAGAATGGCTACCCCCGGTCAAAGACCTGGGCAGCGCTCAGCTCTCTTTCCAAGAAGTTATTTTTGATACTCTCACACAGCTGTGGACTGCTTTGATTGTGCCCGAAGAAGCCTCGATCACGCCGTATATCGATGTGTTGGTACCACAGTGCAAGAAAGGCAACGAACGGGCCATCACTGCTCTCGGCCGTCTTGCGCTCGGCCTGAAAGACGACGACGCTGCCCTTGATACCATTCTCTCAAAACTTTACGAACTCCACGAGCTCAAGCAACCCGAGGTTCATTTCGCCATAGGGGAGGCCATCACGGCTGCCATCGCGCGCTGGGACTCAGATGTCGTGCAACTCACAGTGGATGTGGAATCACAGACGGACAAGTACCGGTTGGAGAAGCGAGCCGACAAGATCAAGGAGGTCCTGGATAAGATACTCACTGATTGCAAAGCCACCAAGCCTTCCCTCCTGAAAGCATCCGGAATCTGGCTATTTTCGATCATTCAGCATTGCTCTCACCTGCCCGAGATCCAGGCGCGCCTGCGCGAATGCCAGGTTGCGTTCATGCGCCTGCTCAGCGCGCGCGACGAGCTCGTGCAGGAGACAGCGTCAAGAGGTCTGTCTTTGGTCTACGAAAAGGGCGATCCTTCACTGAAGGAGAGCCTGGTCAAAGATCTTGTTGGCGCTTTCACAGGAACAGGTACGCAGCTGAAGGTTGAAGAGGACACAGAGCTTTTCGAGGCCGGTGCACTGCCTACAGGTGAAGGGAAATCTGTCACCTCGTACAGGGACATTATGAACCTGGCCAACGAGGTCGGTGACCAAAGTCTCGTTTACAAATTCATGTCACTCGCCTCGAACGCGGCGACGTGGTCCACCCGTTCGGCGTTTGGGCGCTTCGGCCTGAGCAACATCCTCTCTGAATCCGAAGTCGACCCCAAGCTCTATCCAAAGCTTTTCCGATACCGATTTGACCCGAACACAAATGTCCAGCGGTCGATGAACGACATCTGGAAGGCCCTGGTCAAGGATTCGAATGCGGTCATTGAGGAGCACTTCGACGCTATAATGAACGACTTGCTGAAGAGCATCCACACCAAGGAATGGCGAGTGCGGCAGGCTAGCTGCTCAGCCATAGCTGATCTTATCAGTGGCAGACCTTTCCAGAAGTATGAGAAGTACTACGGCGAGATCTGGACCAAGGCGCTCAAGGTGCTCGATGACGTGAAGGCGACGGTCCGTAACGAGGCGCTGAAGCTCTGCATGGGCATGGCAAATACTCTGACAAGGCAGCTCGAAGAGGGTGGCGTGTCGGCGTCCGCCAAGGACATGATGAGCTCCACACTGCCCTTCTTGCTCTCCGACAAGGGCATTGAGAGTAATGTGAACGAGGTCAAGGGTTTCGCGATCGACACGGTTATCAAGATCACCAAGACCGGTGGGAGTGCATTGAGACCGTATATCGCCACAATCGTGACGCACCTGCTGGGACTGCTGAGTACCATCGAGCCAGACGCAATCAACTACTACTATCAGCGTTTCGGCGAAGATGATCGGGAGAAGATTGATAAGATCCGCAGCCAGATGGTCAATCAGAGCCCCATCTCCCAGGCCATCGAGAACTGCCTTCGCAACGTCGACGAGAGCGTCATGCCGGACCTGGCATCTGGCCTCGAAGAGACCATCAAGTCGGCCCTTGGAATGCCTACGAAGGTTGGATGTGCGAGGCTGCTGGGCACGCTGGCGACACGGCATACCAACGACTTTCGGCCATACGCAGACCGTTTCCTGCGGGTCCTGGAGAAGCAGTGCCTTGACCGCAACGACGAGGTGAGCCAAGGATATGCAAAGGCTGCAGCCTACATAATGCGACACGCCCCATCAGAAGCCAAAGAGCGCTTCATCGCCAAGTTCGAAACGCTATACTTCAACGCCGAGGATGAAGCGCGCAGGCAAAAGGTGGCGGATGTGGTGTTGTCGCTCTCCAAGATCAGCCCCGATCACTTCAACGCGCTGGAGGGCAGCCTGCTCCCATTCAGCTACCTGGGGATGCACGACGTGGACGAGTATGTGACCAAGGCATTCAAGGAGGTGTGGGAGACCCATGCGGGCAGCAGCAGGACGGCGACGCGCTTCGTGCCCGAGGTGGAGGCACTCGTGCAGAGGGCACTCGACACACCACAATGGAGCCTCAAGCACGCGGGCGCGCTGACTGCAGCCAGCGCCGTCACGGCCGTCACGGCCGCGGGCGACCACTCCGGGTCCACCGTCAACGTCGCGCACCTCGCGCGCCTGTGGCCCGCGTTCGACCGCGCGCTCGCCCTCAAGACCTTCGCCGGCAAGGAGAAGCTGCTGGACGCGCTGGCCGACGTCGCCGCCAAGGGCAAGGCGTTCTGGGAGGCCGACGCCGCCATCGCGGCGCAGCTGAAGAAGGTCGCCCTGCGCGAGGCGAAGCGGAATAACGAGACGTACCGCGTGCCCGCGTTCAAGTGCCTGTGGCGGTGCGCTGCCGCGCGGGAGGACGTCGACATGTGGGACGAGGTGGTGGGCATCGTGCGGCCGTTCCTGGACGAGTATGCTGACGAGGACCGGATGGATGTCGATGGGGACAGCGGCAAGGTCGCCAAGGAGAAGGAGGTGCTTGTCTACCAGACCGCGCTCGGGGCGGTGGAGGTTGTTGCCCGCGGGTATAATCGCCCGCTGTTGAAGAAGCAGCCTGTCGAGGTGGCTGGGAAGATCCTCGACGTCCTGGGACCTTTCTTTGCGAAGCCGCGATTCGATCTGATTCGTCGGGAGGTCTGGTATAAGGCTGTCGAGGACCTGATGAAGGACGCTGCTGCCGATGGTGTCGCCGGCAAGGAGGGGGGAGACGTCGCCAAGAGGTATTTTGACAGCCTGGATGTGGACAAGCCGGATGTTGGCGTTGAGACGCAGCGGATTGCGCGCGCTCAGGCCACGGTCGCGCTGGCGAGGGCTGTTAAGAAGGGGGTGTTTGGTGACGCGGCGTCTAAGGCGGAGGGCGTGGCTGGGACTATGAGGAGGGTAATTACTGAGGCACGCGAGGCGGAGAGGAGCGTGGATGTGAAGAAGGTCATGGGCGAGGCGTTGGCTGAGCTTTGATTGGGAGATACTGTAGACTTTCTGATTGGTCAACGATTCATGCGATGATAGAGAAATTTGTTTCTTGCGATGTAGACATGGAATTTGAGGTCTTTTCAATCATAGTGTGAAGATATTCGAAGGTCCCAGTTCAAACAAAAGGCAAAGGGGTCAAGGCACATATCAATAATTACGACTCTTGATCTACCAAGCATTTTGATTGCAATCTAGTGAACGGCTTTCCTATCTGACCACCGTGCTGCGGTGATAAAAAGACTACCTATGAGAGTGACTGTCCCAGCCCAAGCCTGAGCCCCGACAAAACTGCCGTTCATGCTCTCGATGAGACCTCCAGCTATTGGTGGTCCTGCTAAACTTGCAAAGGCAAGGACAGAGCACACCATGCCGAACCTTGTTCCCATCTTCGCGGGGTCATGGGTGAGTGAAGCCAGAGCACCACTAAACATGCCTTGGGTTCCTCCAGTAGCAAATCCGTATACCGCTACCCAGGCGTACATGCCACCGAGAGTCTTGACCGGGATCCAGGTGAAGAGCATACAAGCCATAAATATGCTCGCCAGTGCTAACGTGAGCAAGGCATTGAACAATCTGTCCGAGAAGTAACCTAGTAGAGGGCGCGATGGTATCGTGATGGCGTTGATAATGACGAGAAATGTTGCAGCCGTCTCGCTGGAAACGCCGATGACAGTCGTGGCATATGAGTTGATGTAGAAAAACGCAAAATAAAGAGCCAGGAAGATGAAGAACATGCCGATCGTAAAGAGGGAGTACGAGGCTTCAAGAAAGGCTCGCAGTTCTATGATGGGACCGGCCTTCCGGGACGGTAGTCGGGGTTGTAGTAGGGTGAGAATAATGACGGCAAAGAGGAGGGCAATGATAGCCTGGATACGAACAGCCCAAGAAAATCCTTTTCTAGTCAGCTCAGTCACAATCAAAGCGGAGGCATTGTTGATTCACCCATTTTGTCTTGCAGGTTCTGTACCACCAACGGAAACACAATGCTCCCAACACCACTTCCGGAGGCTGATGTGGTCAATGCTAACCCTCTCTTCTTCTGAAAGTAGGAACTGATAATGGCGACAGTAGGCATGTACATCAAGCCCATTCCTAGCCCTGTGCATATCCCCTGGGCCAGGAAGATCTGCCAATACTTTGTAGCCAAGCTCGTCATGAACGTGCCGAATACACCCAGGAAGCACCCAAGGAGCACCGTCTGCTGGGCTAATCCTGCGTCGGCCGAACGCCCGGAGAAGGCGCTGATAAAGAAGGTCAGGAAGACTTGGGTAGAGCCGATCCAAGAGACTTGCGAAGGCGGAAGAGACAAGGCGGTGGTGTAGTAGAGCTGGTACACGCCAAAGGAGGACGAGTATCCCCATGAAAGGGCATTTATGAGCACCCCGGCGACAACCTGAAGCCAAGCCGTCGTTTCGCCATCAGGGGCAGGGCCGGGGTCGGTTTTGATCTTCTGAAATATCATTGTCGATCAGTAAAGGAAAACGATGAAGTTGGGTCTCTTGATCGTTAGTACTTGTACTTGGGCATGGCTTCCTTACCAGCTCGTCTTTATAAGAATACTAGAATACCAGTTAACGATAATTGAAGAGGTTCCTTGACGGTCTTCCCGAGGTATTTTCGACAACGGCATCCTTACTTTCGCCGACGTAGAGTCCAAAACTGTATAAGACGCCTCTCGGCCGTTCTCGACCAATGAGGGTCCAGACCCAGAAGAGGTTCTCGAATAGTTTCGGACACGGCGGCCAATCAGCAGGGACTTCGTCCTCCAGACTTGACTCAACCTAGCTGATATTAGCAACGACCGACGAATCCCCCAAACCGTAAAACATTGGAAATCGACGACAACCAGCAGTCTCACATGGAGTTCCTCATCAGGAGCACAATTGTCAAGAGAGTCTATTGGTAGCTTGATACATGAGACAGCAGCCCAAGTAATGTGGGACGCGGCGTCTGGGCTTGAGCCAGGTGGTACAACCAGAGCGGATTAGCGGAACGGCATAGGGCTGAATTCCATACTGGATGATACATCTTTTACGGATGACACTGTGCATGATTGTCTTTTTATATAAAATCTGCCTTGATAAGCTGTCTTTGCTTTCAGTAGACTGACTCGTTGTAGCGCGGGGATCATCGAAACTATATCGGGCGCCTGAAGCCTCGCTACCTAGAAGACATTGGCTCTCCAGGTGAAGAGGGACCTCGTGTTGTAGTTGGTATCTACAAGGTATGTGACCCAGAAGTGGATCCCAAATCAACACACCCACATTCAACCTTGCCTTAATAGCGCATGTGATACAAAGACTTTCGGTAATCAGATGATTTATTTACGAGATGTTGTGCCCGTCAGGCATGCCGTCTGATAGGAGATCTAAAGTCCATGGAAAGGATATCGTGGCGGGTTCGTCTGCCATCAAATTACTCTCGTTTGAACCTTCTTTATATTGTTCCTCTTGTGATATGTCCCTGGCTCTTGCCACTGGAGAAAGCGTTCTGTCAACTCCAGGGTTGTCTGCAGTAGTGAACGAGGATGGTTGGCTGGACAAGATGGAGGACGGAGTGAGGATCATGTTGTTAGGCCCATTTGTGGGACCGAAACCGATGCTGGGCGATATGTCCATGAGACACCTTGTGAGAAAAAGGTCAAGACTATCCCCATCAACACCATCCGTTTGGTGATGTTCATGATCCGCAGCAGAATATTGATCTTGGCCGTCGCACCGATTCCTTTGTTGGCTTTCCCACACAGCTTGCCCTTCGAAAACACGGAGAATACTTCGTGGATATATCCAATAATGAGCGAGTTCTCGAAGCGAGTTCAATAGAGAATCGAGCATTCTTTTTGACTTGGCTGCGACTAGCGGATTGGTTGATGCAATTTCGCCACTGACGTGAACCAAGGAGGTGAAAAGAGTGTAGACGGATGGTAGTGCCAACTCGCCAAACGCATTTGTCGCTCCGATAAAGTCAAAGGTCGATGTGATAACCGCAATAGCATCAGCACATATGGACGAATCGCCTGACGTAGCTGCTAGACACGAGTTGGGGCTGGGCTGAGCGGGAGGTCTGTGGAGGAGGATGAGGAAGTTGTTGTAGGTAAGGTAGAGAAATGATTGCCAAGTATCGGCCTGAGGCTGAGGCAAACGAAGACAGTCAGGCAGATGCGTTACAAATTGGCCAAGGGATTCGCCAGCCTGCCTTTTCGCATCTGCCCTCTCTGCTGGACTAGACTTTAGCTGTAAGATCTGTCGCATTGACTTGGACAGGATGACGCATAGGTGAGTATGCGCTGTCACGAAGGCCACTTTGGCACCGGGAATTCCCTCGAAGTGACACTCCTGCAGAGGTGGAGTATCGGACTCATCAAGCCGTCTTCTGCGCGATTAGAGTCTTTTCTAATAAGGCAGTACAGAAGAAAACACTCACATGGCTTGAGGTCGTCCATGCGCTACAGACACTAAGACGTCGAACTGGAACAGCACCCACCACAGCCGAACCCATTCTCGTTTTGTAACGGCCGACATTCGAGATTGCGAAGTGTCGCGGTGCATGCCTAAACCCAACGCTGTTCGCGCCGCGAAACCAATCCAATACCACGAGTTGGAAACAATGTCCTCGAGGTGATCACAATTCCACGTCATGAGGAGCGCCGCCTGGATGTATACCTTTCTGTCATCCTCAAATTGTACATCGATGAGCATCTTGGCTCGGCGGAAGAAACAAGCCTTGAGCGACTTGTAGTCATTGCGCCGTGATGCCGATACGTGAGCACCCACAAGGAGGATAGAGTTGAGGAGCAGGAGAGGAACCGATTTTCTAGGATCGGTAGACTTGTATCTATCCATGAAATCTTCCTCGTCAACGATGGGCCATCCTGGGTTGATGCGACTGAAGTAGACTTGGATCAGCTCGTCTGCAAGAGACTTATCGGGCAGTTTGAGTGCCTCGGAGGGTGCGGAACTAAGTCTCGGGAGAGAATGTTGACTTCCGAAGTGAAGCTGATTTTGGTTTACATGCGAAGCACGTTGACGGACCAGATAGTTCAAGTTTGAGAACTCGTTCCCGATAAAGTGGATTCGATGATTTGCACCAATTTCGCTTGCTTTCGCTACACTATGTGTCTAGGAAATCTGCCAGATTCTTGGTTGTCTGTTCGTTGAGCTGGTCTCGATCACCAGACGAGGCGGACTGAGACGCAGAGCCCCGCCAGTTCCGACAAGCATCTCGTTGTTGCTCATTGAGAGGCTCACGTGATGTCAAAGGGCTCGAAGTGTCTTCAGAAACTTGACGCAAGGGAGTATCAGTTTCCCATTGGGGGCCGTTGGTGTCCTTCTGAGATGTTGTTGCGGCTTGTGTTGGCTGCTGCGTCTGGTGGTTTCGAGGTTGGATAGCAATAATGCGGCGAGGACGGCGGGCAGCTCGGGCCTGGGCAGTTTGGGACTTCTTGTTCTTGTAGATGTGGCAGCTTGGCTTGTTCTGAGCCAGGCAGTTGGAACATGGAGAGCCTTTCGTTAGGATATCACATCTGACTTTGCGTTGGTGGCAAGTGATGCAGGCTCTGGTCCCTGGTGGAAATTAGAAGATGGATAAACAATGATATTCGCCCGCAGAGGCGATACAGAGCAGCGGAAACCTCGATAAGGTGATTCAGACTAGGGCAGTCATACTCAATTTCAGTTTAGTTGAAGATATGGGGGTTTCCGCCTCAGGGGGGACGTGGGACTGAGGCTGTTCGATGGTCATAACGCATGTGATGGTACTGGCAAACGAACGCCTTGGCCGAATCGGGGTATTCAGAGATTGAGAGCCCCGGCCAGGATATTAGTCATTGGCAATCGGGCAGTGGTCTCAAGGTTTAGGGAGGGCTGGGCGTTAACGAAATTCAACTCGATGAGGCTGAATCGATCCGTCCAGCCACCAGTTCAGGGCAATGGGAGAGGGACAAGTCCATCTCTGCTACAAGTGCCTTGGAGATCCGGGCTTGCTAACTGTCGGACCTTAGGGAGCCGGGCGAAGCCTTCGGCGAAACCGTCCAATAGCGGCGCTTTGTCATTGGAACCATGAATCTTACCCATTGTGCGCCACCCCACTTACATTACATTTGTGGTTAGTTGGAATCAGAGAGTATCAAGCATGTAGTGACCTTATGCTTGGCCTTTTTGGCCTACAATTGTATGACTAAGCTCATCTCCTGCCCAGATGCAGGTTTTCCACACTGCAACCCGTTGGGTCTGTCTATTATAAGTTATGGCGCCAGCGACCCAATTCTTCCGGTCTTGTAGGGCTTTCTTTTGTTAACTTCGAACTTACAGGTCTGAACCCTCAAAGTTATGAAACGTAACTTTCAAGGCGTCCTTCAACTCTGTGCACATCAACAAGTGCAGACATATCCGTATAGCAAAGTTCAGTCAGATTTTGGGTAGCTGGTTCGTAGAGTTACATTACGGCACAAATATATGGTATATATCGTAAGAAAACAAGACTTGATTGGTTGGTCAATGTTGTATTATTCATAGAGATTGTATCGTTTCGTAACTTTTAGGGATTTGATCTGTATGCACCCATGGTCCTCCAGACCTCACCCAAGCTCCTCTTCTCAACGTTCAGGGCCCGATTCATGTTGTACGAATTTTATGCCTGCAACATCAATACAGTCTCACCTCTTCACAATACATGGCTGCCGCCAACATTTGTGTTTCCATCGTTCTTTCTTAACCAGCCACAAACACGCCATAAATTTTATGCCCAGGCCACCCATGCACGGCCACTCTGCAACACCTCCATCATGAGCACCACCGCACTCCCTACACTGCCCGATCCCAATGATGGTCTGGGCGCGTACGGTCTGCCCTCCACCATCCTGTCGATGCAAAAGACAGGCTTTCGCAGAGGGGGTTTCCACATCTACCGCTGCACATACGACGACGACGCCGCCTGAGACCGCTACGTGAGCAACCTAGAAAACGAACTCGAGGAGGGTCTCAAGGCGATGGGGTCTGACTACATGCTCGCGCCGTACCACGAGTGGACCATCGTGGAGGATCGCAAGGCTTTGGACGCGGCGCCGACAGGGGAGGTCCGCTTGCGCTTTCGGGAGTGGAGCGAGGCGCGCTCAGTGGAGCGGGACGGGCCTGGGGCGGACCACGAGCTGATCGGTCAGGCGGGGCTTGTGGCGCGGTTTGAGGCGTGCATAATGGTTGATAAGGAGTGTCTGGACTCGATGGAGAAGAACAAGGGTAAGTCGAATTGGTCAGAGCCGTATTTTATGGTGATCGGGCTGGATCGTCTCGCCCCACCACCAAGGCCTCCCACTGAAGAGGATTTGGAGGAGCTCAGGGAAATTGGGGATGAAGATATACTTGAGGAGGATGGTGGGAATGATGAGACATGGATGCTGGCCTCGTGTCAGTCGTACGTGGAGTTGTACAATGATCTCTGTGGGATGGGGCCTTGGTGGAGGCAGAGGCAGGCCCTCCCCGACATCTATCCCTATATATAGTATTTGAGTATTGTAATGGCTGTCTGTCGTGATACTTCAGTACACTTCTACGTAGGAGTTGCCCCATCTCAGCGCTATTAATCTGTCTGCGCAAGCGCGCTGTCGTAAATCAGAGTTCTATCTGTTAAATGACGTACCCCTGACTCTAATCTGAATTCCTATTTCGTTAGTCAAATCGAGCCTTCGTGCCACGACGACGTAGGGACCATCTCAATATTAAGGCTTTGCCTAAAGGTCATTGGCAACAGGCCTTGAAAGGTATTTCTCACCCCATCCTGTCCATCGACTGCGACCCCCCCCCCCCTCAAGAGGCTGTGAATCTTTTTTTGGTTCGCCTCAGTACTGCATGCATCAGATGTCTCATGGCTTGATCAGAACAAGACTGTGTCTGCTGCTTCTTGACAGGAGGAGCTATTTCGTCCGGGTCGTACGCGCACCCCTGCCCTCAACACCATCCAGGATGATCTGCCAGTACCAGCTCAGAAGGCTCACTGAGTTCATGCATGTATTGACCAGCTCTTTGGGAAAGACAGAGCGTCGCTTGTAGCTGGCCGCTTTGATAACCCACTCCTTGAGGTAAACCAGCTTACCAATGACCTGTGCGACACAATATTGATTACCAGACTGCCCTCTCTCAGATGGTGCCCTTTCATATACGCTCAATATCTTAGAATTGCTTATTGAACTTTTTAATTTAAAGCCATAAAGTGAACTGCTTACGGTCATTGATATCCTTGAACCGCGAATCCTCTTAACTCTTCAAAAAGTTTAATAGACAGCCAAGATACCTCCGTGAGTTCCATAAACGCTGCCACAGACATAAGATGCCTGATCATCCGCCAGAGTCACATACACGGGAGCCAGTTCAGCAGGCTGCTGGAGACGTCCCTCTGGCACGAGCGAAGAGACTATCCCATCTGTTACCTTCTCCGTCAAACCGGTGTACACCAGCAGTGGAGTGTACGTGAACCCTGGGGCGACGCCGTTGACTCTGATGCCCCTTTTGATAAGCTCCGATCCGGCACCGTTGACAAAGTTGCGGAGCGCGCCCTTGGATGCAGAGTAGGCAGCTATCCCAGGCTGCGGATCATTGCCCGTCGAAGACACAGTGAATATAATGGAGGATCCTGGAGGGAGGAGCGGTGCAGCTGCTTGGGTGATGTGCAGACTGGCGTAGACATTTACCTTGAAAATGTCGTCCCACACTTCGGGATCCAAACCGTCAAAGTTCTCAAATTTGCCGCCAGCGTATCTGTTGCAGAGTCAGCACCAAGGCGGCTTGGTTCCCAGAAGAGAAAGTCTACCTACCCAGCATTGTTCACGACGAGGTCAAGCCCGCCCAGTTTATCGAATGCTTTAAGGACGAGCTCGTAGCAAAAGGATTTGCTCCTCAGATCTCCTGGGATTCGAATCAGGTCGTGTTTGACCTGATGGTCCTTGGCCAGGAATTGTGTGAGATCCTCCGCATCTGGCTCCTCCTCAGGAAGGTAGTTAATCGCTACTTTGGCTCCTTCTCGAGCCAGAGCAATGACAACGGCTCTTCCGATGCCTGAGTCGCCTCCAGTGACCAGAGCACGGCGACCCTTGAGACGACCACTTCCAACATAGCTCTTCTCTCCGCAGTCCGGAGGGTACTTGAAACTTGTTTGAAGAACCTGCTTAGGGTACGTGTTCGGGGGAAACTCAAACTTGAAGTCTTCGTAGCGAGTGAGTGGGTTGATCAGAGTTGGCTTAGGTGAGGGCTCTGCAGATTCCATGATGAGTGATTGTGATCAAGTATGTGGATGTTTCAAAAGGTATGCAAGTTATCGATATCTGTTTTTCTTTTCGAAGAATCTGAACAACACATGGTATCAAGTGTCTTCTTTCGGGCTCTTTTTGACGGTTTATATACTTGAACAGATCGTAGACGATCGCCGGCCATACCATCATTGAATCATGTGGCCCAGTATCTCACAGTAGCTGCTTACCCCTGATTTCATGAACCTGATCATTTATTGTGCCTCATGACACTAACTCTCACACGCTGGGTGAGAATCCTGCTTCCTTCTGTGATCTCGAAGTGTAGCCAAGAACGCCAGGCTGAAGCAGTCACGTCCGAAAGGGGGCTTTGCACGCAGCCACCTTGTGGTTTCTTAGTTGCTTTCGAGTAATCTCACGTTATCCAAATAATCACCTGAAGACAGCATGGGTCTTTTGTGCTCACTGGAAAGGATTTGCTTAGCAATACGGGATTTGCGTAAGCTCCTCATTGTTCTTGAACGGAAGTACCCACACGCATTCAGGTGCAGCTGCGAGCCGGAAGTTCTCAAGCTGGTTCTTGAGTTACCTGTATCTCAACACATTAATACTAACGAATTTAGCAAAGAAGCATAAAATTGATCAAGATTTCCTATTCCAATGATTTTGAATAAAATAAAAATAAAAGCTTAGCAATTATTACCTATGCAATATGTAGCAACTTAATATACATAAGTGTTCTTGAACTTATACAATTTAATAGTATTGCTAGACTCTGACAAAAGAACATACATGCCCGTGATTCAAGTTACTCCATGCCTCATTTCATTTCACTAGCAGGCCTCTTTTGAGGTTTCAAGTCTAGAATAGTCTCCAGCTCCTGTCATCATTTATTAGTAAGATCGCTACATAGCCTCTGTGAGCACCTGTCTCATGGGGCAGCTTGCCTACCTGTAGAGTATTCGAGATATTGTCGTCTGCCCCTGTGGCAAGTGTGAATTTCGCTAGACCTGACTTTCTCTTTTGGAGATTGACAACGTTCTGATCATTTTCAGCAATTTAAGTCTCCAAAAAATGGAATCCGATAAAGAAGTATTACTGTACCTGTTCAACGGTATTCTGCATCACATATCGGTAAATGTTGACTTCGGACTTTTGGCCCATCCGGAGAGCTCGGGCGACCGCCTGCTCCTCTATTGAGGGATTCCACTGTGGCTCGATGATGTGTACACGATTTGCCACGGTCAGGGTGAGGCTGTGAATACTTCATTAGATATTTTTGTGATAATGTGCTAAAAGAGTCCTCAGTGACTTGCCCTACAGCACCAGTCTCGATGGTCATCAGAATGACGAGCAAGCCTGGGTCTTCTCTAAAAGCCTTCAGATTTTCTGATCTATCCGCATAGCTTGTTTCCCCGTCGACTTGAATGTAGCTGATGCCAGCAAGAGTCAAAAGCCGAGCTAGAACACGCAAGGTGGTCTTCCAGTACGAAAAGATAATACTGGAGGGGAAGAGATTAGGAAATATGTTAGTACAGTAATCAAATGGGACGGTGGATATTCGCCTCACGTCTTGTTTAGTGAGCTACTAGTTGCAGCCACGTTCTGTACCACCGCATCTAATTTTGTAGAGAAGTCCTGTCGTCTCAGAGAAGTTGAACTCGCCGCAACAGCCTTCCAAACTTGGCCCGGAATGATGGAGGAAGTGGGCTGGGCGAACGTTGATGTAATGGTATCAAGCAATCGGGGCACACTTCACACGTGGATAGAAGCAGCAGGGTATCTTCGTCCACTGTGGAGCATCGCTCGCATTGGTACTGGCTTTTTGAGCGTCCTAATGTGGAATCATAAGCCCAGGTCTCGTCAGTGCTCCCCATAGGAAATGTCCCCAAATTGCAAATCATCCGCAGTCGCATTAGGGCTGTAAACAGTTTGGTACAGCGTAAATTCTTTCCCGTGCTGATCAAGTCATCAATTTGTCGTCGAGTGTCGTCCAATACTTGATCATATAATTCTCGCTCTGCCTTTGACAAGCGAAGAGCAATAGTCACCTCACGGTTTGCCGGCAAGGAAAGACAGGATTCGGTCCGCCGCAGACAATAAGCCTCCATGTATGCCCGGAGTGGCTTCGAGTTAGGGGTTGTGTTCGCGAGAGGCGCAAAAATATACTTCTGAAATAGATCTTTCGACGAAACAGGGTGAATCCGCAGGAATTGAGCTAGCGACGCAAGGTCGTCCAGTCTGTTTTGGATTGGCGTCCCGGACAGACACCATCTTCTCCTGCTGTTAAGCTCCGCGGCAGCCTTGAATTGCTTCGATGAGGAATTCCGGATCCAATGAGCTATTGAAAAAGATCAGCAAAATTGCACACACATGTTTACGCGACGGACTAACCTTCGTCTAGCACGATCCGGTACCATTCCATGCGATACATGAGACCCTGACCACCATGATCGGCGGCTAATGTCGCATAAGTAGTTAAAACTATGTCGTATTTTTGGAGAGCCTCAGCCTCTTTCGGTCGACTCTGTCCGTGGAAGCGTACGTGTCGAAGAACACCGTGGAAAAAGTGTCTGTAAAAAGATTTCAGTTGCGTGAACACGGACGATCATTCTAAACAGGCCGCTACCCACGATTCAATCTCGGACTCCCAATTCTCCAGTAGCTCTGCAAATGATGTCAATTGACTTCAAACCTTGATGGAAACGTGTCCTAACCATTCATACTCACGAGCAGATGGGACGACTACTAATGTCGACTTGGTTCGGATCTCATCCTGCTCACGAAAGGCTCGCCTGGCAAAATGAAATTCAGACGCCTTTGAGGATGACCGCAATATTGAGACGAGGGTGGTGAGTGTCTTTCCAAGCCCCATTACATCTGCAATCATACCGCCAAGAACTGCCCGACCCTCTTCATATTGGGAATGCTGGATACCGGCAGTGGTGCAGATCCGTGCTGACAGGTATTTACAGAATGTCTCATCTTCTCGCTTGAGGATAAAGCGCATACCGTCCTGTTGATGCCTGGTGTCAGTCAGTATCGGCATTGAGCTTGTTTCTGCTTTGGATAATGTACGAACTTTGTAAGTGCAGATCTCAGGCCATCGATAGGACAAAGTTCATCCTCCTCTGGAGCCACTTCTTGCCCCAGAGACCCAAAGATATCCTCGATGTCTCTAGTTAAGTGGTCATGTTTCCACGCTGATGTGCCTACGCCGATGTATTTCCTCATTACCAGCTCATCTCCAGGAAACACCAAAATGTCTGGATTGTGGTAGTCGATATGGCTATCCAGGGCTTGTGGATGCTGAAGGAAGACACTAATCCTCGAAAGCGCCAGTGAGACCTCATCTGCAGCATTTCGAGGCCCAAAAATGTTGACTGTGAGGTTGAACGGCTCTCTGGACTTTGATTTACGCTTGACAATGCTGCGAAGTTCAACAACTGCCTCGGACCGCGTCTCTGCGATTTGATCCACTACTTGGAGCTTCGAAGTCGTTTGAGCATCCAGAATCGCAAATTTGACGCCATCTTCAGAACAAAGCTTCACTACTCCGCCCATATGTTGCAAATGAAAAGACGCATACGAACTTGACATTTGAGTTGACGCTGTGTTCCTCAAGACGGTTGTATTACCGACTGGCTTTGCCAAAGCATCGTATAACTGATTGTCACATATACTGTCAGCAAAGTTACACATCTGAAGATCTATGATGCCTGAATCTGTCATGTGTGACAGGTCGTACCCCCTGGCAGGACTCACCGTGCCATAACAGATCTCGTGACTGCCGCACATTGCAAAGGCCATCTTCGCCGTCTTCCTCTCTGCGCGATTTGTTTGTCCGAAAATACTCTCAGTTCGTCGGATGTCTGTTTGCAGCTTTAGAAAAGGATCTCTACAAACCAAGAAGGAGAAAAAAGAAAAAGACAACGAGGCTGAGCCCCCTCCAGCTTGTGATAAAAGTTATAACGCTTCGGAGCTGCATTGTACAAGGGATGATGCATGCGCTGCAGTGGCTGCGCCGCACACCGAAAACTTGAGCCCTCTTTACACGAATCGGCTGTCAATAATCGGTAGTGGACAAGAAGAGGCCCATTTTGAGGCAATGTAAGTGGGTTGCACCGCGTCCGCGCTAACGGATTCAGGACTATCGCAGCTATGCTGCACCACTTCAAGCCACCATGGGCATGCACAGCCCCATGCCCACCGCTTTAATTTGCCTACCATTAGTACTTCCTTGTTTGGTCTATATATACATCGTTCTCCATGTCTACCCAGTAAGCAGGACAAAAAAGGCCTGCTGCCTGATATGCTGCGCTCTCCGAGGAATCTAGTCCAAGCTGACAGGCTCTGTCGACAAGTCTCGCTTTCCTCCCATGAAACGACTGAACTTCTCGATTCTCAAGACTCTCAACTATAAGTATCATTGAACGCTTCAACGGAAGGGAAAGCTGTGATGGCGGGGCCGAATCCCGACAGCTTCCAAAGGGCTCTGACAAGATTCAGGAACTCTCTGGCTCGAAGTACTCCCGAGCTCATCGATCAGTTCTCGATGACTCGTCCACAAGATGTACGGAGAGTCTGTCTGGAGATTCAAGACCAACAAGGGCAAGATGGTTGTCTGCGAAGGATGCGCAGAATACAAGGCTTCATTGAGGCCATGGATCAACTAGGAAAGTCGATTGAGGTATTTGTGAATGCGAATGAGCTGGTTTGCTTTATTTGGGTGGGTCAAAATGTTTCAATAATCTGTCGTTCTGCCAACCTTCAGCAATGCCATGCTGCCCACGTCCATGTCCGGTGGCGCGGTCGCTGCAACGGTCCTCGAGCCTAACACAGCAAGTAGGGTCCAGTCAAGTTCCTCTTAGGTGTGAGTGACTCCAAGCATTAGTATTTGTGGTTCATAATTTGATTGAGAGTGGCTATGTAGGTTGCCAAACAGTACCTTGACTCTTTCGACAAGTTGCTGGACGTCTATGCTCAAGTCGGAGAGGCCATGCCAGGCCTCATGGTATATCAATCTACCTTTGAAAAGCACCCTCCGCTCGCTACTGTGCTGGAAGATTATTACTCAGACATCCTCCGCTTTCATGAAGCAGCTTTACAAGTATTTACAAGACCTAGTACGTGCGGTAAATGCCCGTCATTCGGTTCAGGCCCTGGAACTTCAAATAAGTGTTGCTTGGCACTGATATAGATTTGCATAGAGTGGAAGACAACCTTCAAATCAGTTTGGAAGACGTTTGAAACCCAGTTCAGACCCATTCTCGACAGCTTAGACCGGCGACGCGAGTTGCTGGAAAGCGAAAAGGGGTCGGCAACGTTGCACGAGATATCCAAGGCGAGAGAGGATATCGCAGCCTTCATCGAGGAGACAAAAAAACAGGCCAGTCGTGAGGGGTTCGAAAACCATAAGTGGCGGCTGAATCATATAAAGGAGAAGCTTGAGGCCCCAGACTATCAGCTGGACCAGGAGATGGCAACTGAGGATCGGAATGGAAGCGTTTCGGGCACTTGGATTCTCCAAAATCCTTCTTTCCAGAAATGGACGGACAAACATTCCAGAGACAATGGTGTACTTTATCTAAGCGGAATACCGGGTGCTGGTGAGACTCGAACCACTTTATCTTGTTATCCCTTCAATTCCTTTAAGTTGTTGCATGTCCAACAGCCAGCTAGGCGTATTCGATTTGATGCTGACACATCCTAGGCAAGACAACTTTAGCATCTTTCATCGTGGAAAGGCTCCTAGAAGAAAGTTGTGCCGAGGGTAGTGATTGTGACACTTTGGTGGCATATTTCTATTTTAAGCACAACCAGGCCGACAAGCAGACACACAATAGCTTTCTCAGAGCCATGATGGAACAGATTGTGACTCGTGATCTAGCTTTGTCAGATCACTTATTCGATAACTTGGCGACTATCAACGAAGTAAATCTGCGATCAACAAGAACCTTGGAGTCACTCATTGCAACAAGCTTTGAGCATTTTCGAACCTGTCTCATAATTATGGACGGCCTCGATGAAGCAGCTCCAGGTGAGGCCATCAAATTGCTCAACTGGATCCTTCCAGTTGCAAATGGACAGGTTCAAGACAACATGACTTCAACCCGGCTCCTTTTCTGTGGCCAGCGGGATGGAATCCTTGACCATAGACTCGCTAATTACCCTCATATCGCTCTTGAATCGGTTTCCGATCATGATATGGATATCAACAATTACTGTGCTCAGATTGGTGCTCGCATCCGTTCAAAATTTTCCATACCTTCGGACATGGAGCGCAAAATCGTATCTCAAGTGACCTTGCAGGCTCATGGTGAGTGAAAAGCACCTTGAAGTAATGAGTACCTATTTAATTCAATCTGATAGGGATGTTCCTTTATGCTCGAGTGGTACTTGAGAATCTCCTCAGCCAGACGAGACTCTCTCGTTTGAAGCAGGAAATGGAACCAGATAAATTTCCAGACGGGATCGAGCGAGCGTCAGTCAATGCGATATCTCCATCTTAAAATTCAAATATTGGTCGTTCAATTCTAATTAAAGTTGCTTTCAGGTATGAACGAGTTGCTGTGCGGATATTCGAGGAGTCGCCGCCAGCGGAGCGCGAGGACGCGACCAAGATCCTGGGTTGGCTTACCTGCGCGGAAAGACTCCTACACTGGCGCGAAATTCAAGCGATTTTTTGCATCGACCCGGATACTAGTCAAGTAGATTATGAAGGAGAGAGACTGCGAATGTCATGCAAACAGCTCTGCGGGTCTCTGGTCGATATCCATCATGCACAAATCGGACACGAGGGCCCGGATGATGTTCTCCAGATTGTCCACGGAACTGCACGAGAGTAAGTTTGTTCAGTGCTCTTCATCCAGGCACTATGTGGCTAATGCAGCCAGGTATCTCATTCAAAATCGGTGGATCAACATCAGCCTGGAGCATGCGAAAGCCGCAACGTTTTGTTTTCGGTACCTAATATCGAAGCCTTTCCACTGTGGCTCAGATGATAAGCAAATTTTGCTGCATGCCAAGAAAGGGTACTATGCCTTCCAAGATTACTCTGTTCGGTACTGTTTGGATCATGTCTCGAGTTCTGTCCGGCTGAGCCCTTCATACAAAGATCAAATGACGCTGAACGCGCTGGAACCGGCCAGAGACTTCCTCAAGTCGTACAGTCTGTCCGCAAAGTTTCAATTATCAAGTGATGAAATAGCAGACGAAAAGATAACACACTTCATCAAAGAGCTTCCGAAACATCCAAGAGACAGATTCGGGCTATTGAATATCGGACTCCGCACTGTCAACATTCGCGGGCAAATTGAAGAGATGCGAAACCAGGACTTGACATCTGAGGAGCTATACCTCATTAATAATCTGTACGGATTGGAAACCACGTTCAAATGCCCAAAGCCTTGGTGCAATTACTTTACCACAGGGTTTGAAACGAGGAAGGACCGTACAAAGCATGTGAATTGTCACGAACGGCCGTTTTGTTGCCCTGAGGAAGGCTGTTTTGCATCGCAATTTGGCTTCGATGTTCAAGAAAAGCTCAAACAGCATACGGCGAAGCACCACTGCACTTCAACTGCAGAAGTGAGATTCCCCAAACGAAAGGCCCCAAAACGATGGGCCAACATCCACGAGGCTGCTTCCGAGGGTAATGTCGCAGGAGTTCTTGCATTTCTGGACACGGGAACGGATCCAGATGCCAGAAATAATCCCGAGAGTCCTTCAAGCCTCTACCTAGCTGCAGAGTCTGGTCATTTCGAAGTCTGCAAGCTACTGTTGACCAAAGGGGCCCAACTTTGTCTCGCGCCCTGGGGCCAAACGGCAACTCCCTTGGAATGTGCACTGCGTTACGGCTCACTGGACATCATTCATCTCTTCTTAGGGCAGCCAGAGCTCGAAACCAGCCAGGCCATACGGAACTTGCCCCGCTGGATCCATGCTGCTTCTTGTCATGATGACTCCGAAGTCCTCAAGCTGGTTCTAGAGTCACCTGTATCCCGGCATGTTAACACTAATGACATTGACGAAGACGAACGAAACTCGATCAAAACCGCCTGTTTGGAAGGCCCTTATACTGAGTTCTGTCGGTACCTACTTGAGCATGGCTTCTCAAAGCTGGTAACATCAGATACTTCTTTCGATGCTTACGTCCGAGGCGTGGAATATGGAGTCGACCTTCCGCAACCGATCATAGACAGAACGACCCCTCCTCCTTCGTTTCAAACAACGGATCAATTACTATTGTCTCATGGGATAGATCCATCGGAGCTCGACGATGAACAGAAGGCTACCTTCCAGAGTCAATCACCAGCTGTACAGCAGAAAACACTGGAGACTTATAAAGCCAATTTGCCGCGGACGGCTCATCGATGATAAGTAGAATGACAAGATATGAAAGACATTGTCTCTATATGTTTGACTCGTTTCCTTCTGCATTCCAACCCCTTAGTCGGATTCTGAGATACCTGCCAGTTATACAGCTGTGGGTGATCGAAAGGGGTCATTCATCACAAGCTAGTTTGGCGCAGCCTCGCCATTGAAGGCGCCCCGGATCGGCCTCGCCTAGCTGCATGTCTGGTATTAGCAGGAACGGTAGAGAAGCCAGCTTGCTATACTATTTAAGACAAGTAGGGTAATCAATTCCAGGCAAGCTTTGATAATGAGCTCCGCGTAACTGGCTTTTTCTGCAAAAAGTTAACTGTTCAGACAGTCACCTCCGGTGACCATTTGGAGGAGACGGCGCCTACGCCATATGATGCCAACGCCTCTAAAGCGCAGACCGCACGTTACTTAGTGTCGCAAAAAGGTGCAATGTTACACACTTCAGTCAAACTTTTGTTCTACATGTGCTGCGCCATCCATAATACGAGACTGGCGGCTCCGGTTTTCTCCCATCATATTCAAAACCCTTTGCCTGGCGAGAACCTCGTCAACACGGACGTCTGGAATCGGGATCATCTCCACCACTTCGGATACTGGACAAACCGTTCTTCACAGCCATACGAAGTCTCTAACAATCACTGTTCACAGTTCTCGTCATTTTCCTCCGAAAACCCCCTTTCAATCAATCATGGCCCAATTTTCAGATCTCCCACAAGAACTCCGTGACATCATTTGGGAAATGGCGCTTCGGGCCAGGAGGCCAGGAGCCCATTTCTTCACAGTTTACCAGTACTCTATGGGCGCTGGTATTATAGACCCTTCTTGTCGTATTCAGCTCCTGACTGAGGGCGAGAAAAACTGGTACCAATCATCCGGGCTCGCTGCACCCTGCCGTGGCCCGAATGGCAGCTTTTCGTGGACTGAAGGAAACCCCTCGACGTACGTGGAGGACGCGGCTCTTTGGACAACATGTCAGGACTCACGAAGACACATGAATCGCAGATTCGGACCGGTCGATAGCAGCCGTCTGATCGCTGAGGGCCGGCCCCAAGAGACGCACTGGTGGCGCATGCTAAACTCAAAAGCACCCTTGGCTCTGCAGAGCGATACCAAGGAGCCGCAATCCTTTATGGTACACCCAAAGACAGATCTTATCATCATCCAGGCGCCCCCGTCCACGAGTCTCTCATGTGACAGTGATAGCGGCGAAGCTCTCTCTCCAGTTGATGATCTCCGGGAAATTTTCTTAATGTACACTCGCTTCATATGTAGCCTGCGGTCATGGCTTCTCCATTTCCCTAGCAATATTGCCATTGAGCTCGACTCAAAGTGGAGGAAACACCCTCAAACATTCATCGAACGATGCCGGGTAGTTCTCAAAATGACCAGGGTTGAAACAGTATGGTTTATTGATTACAGCCTGAAGCGGGACACACATCGCTTGAAGTCAGAAAAAGGACGTGGCCTTCGAGAGAACCGGGCGGTCTTCTACGCTATGGACCTGTGAGCCGCTTTAGACCGAGGGAAGATCGATCATGGATCACTGACTGAGATTTAGGTCATTGTCAAGGCTCTGTACAACGACGGAAGACGGTGCAGAAGGGAAGTGGTGGTGCCAATAACCGTAGTGAGCATGATCTCAATAATGAATTTATTCGCTTTTAAGCGATCATGAAATTGACCACGGCTAATGCATGATTGATAGCACGTCTCTGTGCTCTTGTTCCTATTTGCCAGCGTCCGTTGAGCGTAACTGAGACCAAAGACAGATCTGAGTCTTGAAGAGAAGCGCCAGCTTCTGCGAGTGCAGTGCGAACGAAGAGCGTTGCCCGTGTCGCTTGCGCTCGTCACATGCTCGCCCTGAGTGATCCTTGTTATCTGACGATGTTAAGCAATGACCTCAAGATCGAGAGCACAGAAGGAAAGTTGGACCCTTCACGAAGCCCAGTAGATTTGACAGTGTCTAGTGAGTGCTTCAGCTGTTGGATTAGTGACGTTCGTTGCCCCAAATGAAAGATGAGAATGAGTCCTGAAGGTCAGTCAGTGAGGGAAGGTAGGCCAACAAGGATATCATCTTAGTAAGCCGCTTGAGTCTGATTGCCGTCGCGGGCAGGCCGGCAGGAAGTACGGAGTACCTGAGTCTACTGTAGGTACCCAGGTACCGTTCCCGTGACGCCATCTCCTGGCGGCCTGCTGGGGGCAATTCGGAGCTTCTGAAGCAACCTTCAACACCAAACTGGAGCCCGAGCTGGAGCACCACCTTACCACATCCCCCGCTCTTATCGACGACGCAGATGCCCAAGATACCTCGCAAAGTATCTGCCACTGCACTGTTAGTTTTCTGAGCGTTCGCTCATACCATTGTTCCCACCCAGAGCTGCACTTCATTCGCCTCTCGAACCCCACCACAGGCTCAATCAAACAGGGGCCGAGCTTCGCGTGGCCGACCCAGGCCAGACCGGACCCAACCTGACCCAAAAACCAGCCAAAGCGATTTGGGATTTGAACCTGACACTCGGTCTTCCTCCGCCTTCCTCAGTTATCCACAAGTAGAATAAGCCCAAAACTGTTGTCTCTCAACTCAACCTACGAGACTTGGCGGCCAAATCATCTGTCATCTCGACTCCCTCTCATCACCACCCACCTCCTACCCTCCACGGCCGCGATCGAACCTTTTGAAGCAGGAGCGCAACACAATACTCACCGACAACCGTCAAGATGGCTGACGATCCTGTCGCCCAATTTATGTCCATCACGGGCGCCAATGACGCCGTCGCCGCTGGCTGCCTCTCCATGACCGAGGGCGATGTGATGGCTGCTGTCAACCTGTTCTTCGAGAACCCCGACATTGCGAGATCTTTCCCTGCCCAGCCCTCTTCTGCCGCACCCGCCTCCTCCTCGACTGCCGCGACCTCTCGAGCACAAGGCGCATCTTCGAGTCGAAACCTCGGCCGACAGGACGATCAAGGCGTCATCCACATAGATGATGACGACGACGAAGACGATGACCCCATCCGAATTGATGACGATGACGATGTGGATGTCGTGGATCACTCCCACCTTGAGCGCATTGCGCAGGAGAGCGATGATGCAGCCATGGCCCGCCGTCTGCAGGAGGAGATGTATGGCGGCGGAAGCGGTCCTTCGGGCGCAGACGATGTGCGGGCTCCTATCGCTAGGACAACAGAGACGCTGGTTGCGCCTAGTGGATACGGCGCCCCGATGGACGATGATGGGTTTGGCATGCTGGAACAACTTCGAAGACAGCCCCGGCCTCGAGGTGAATCCACCGTCGGACTCGTCCTGCCAATAAGCTGATTACCGGGGCTAACATTGTAAAAGCTACAGGTAACCCATTCGGCCAGTCGATCTGGGAGGACCCCGACCATCCACCCCAACCCCCAACGTTTGCCTCTGCAGCAGGGGGCTCCAGTGGGGAGCAGAACCGGGCGCAGCGCCTGGCCGATCTGTTCCGCCCACCCTACGAGCTGATGGAACATTACCCTTGGGACGAGGCGAGAGACATAGGCAAGGAGGACAAGAAGTGGATCCTGGTGAACGTGCAGGACATGAATGACTTCAACTGTCAGGCATTGAATCGAGACATCTGGAAGGACCCGGCCATCGTGGCGCTCGTGAAGGAGAACTTCATCTTTCTGCAGTACGCCAAGGACGACCCCCGGGCAGGCGAATACAACACCTTCTACTTCCCCCCATACGCACAAGAGAACAAAGACAACTTCCCACACGTGTCAATTATCGACCCACGGACGGGAGAGAAGGTCAAGGGCTGGACGGGGATACCCTTCCCCAGTGCGCAAGCATTTCATGCGGACCTGGTAGAGTTCCTCGACAGATACTCGCTGGAGCAAAACAAGAAGAACCCCGTGTCGAAGCAGAAGCGTCCCCAGCCGGCGGTTGACGTCAACCGCATGACGGAGGAGGAGATGCTGGAGATGGCGCTGCGGAACAGCCTCGACGCGAATGGTGGAAACGGAAGCAGCAGTGCGAACGCGCTGCAAGACCCCGACGACCTCACGAAGTCTGTGGAGCTAGAGAAAGGCAAGGGCAAGGAGGTTGCGACGTCCAATATGGATGAGATCATGGGGGGAACACCACAGGCAGAGCCAGAGGAAGTAGCGCAATCGGCGTCATCTTCGGTGTTTGCATCCATTGCCTCAGACAAGCCGCATTCTGAGCCAGCCAACGGCCCTACAGTCACAAGGATTCAGTTCCGACACCCAGAGGGACGAGTGATCCGTCGATTCAACGTGACGGACCCGATCCGTCAGATCTACGAGTGGCTGAAGTCGGAGCCGATCGCAGCGGACAAGGCAGGCGTGGAGTTTGAGCTCAAGACAGTGCCCGAGGGCAAAGACCTGATTGAACTGCTGGACCAGACCATTGAAGAGGCTGGTCTCAAGCAGGCTACGGTGATGATCGAGTATATCGAAGCTTGACCATGGAACTGAGGGACAACAGCAAAGAACTGCGTCAAACACTGCAGGTGCTGGTGTTGCTACAGGCTATTGGAAGGGGAGAATATACAGGTTCATGAAATGACAGGCGGCAGAGAAAGGGCATAGCGGGGACCAGATCACAGATCACAGATCACAGATCGCATCGCATCCGTAGTGCTCAAGCCATGGCTAATGGCCCCCACGACTCCTTCTTTCCCCCGCCTTCTATTCTCAAAGGCGTTACGGTCACGATTGTTGGGATTTCGGTTCAGGTAGACACGATATTTGGAAGGTCTGAACCCGGCCTGGCCTCCATTAGCATAGAGATATGACCTTTAGCATCACGCCCAGAGAGGGAGAAATGCCCACTCTCACATGGAAAACAATGACAAGGGACTGACATCACGATACGAAGCCGGCACAGTAGAGCGTATTCTCGGTGATTTTTGTCTTCTCATGCTGGGGAGGCGGCAGCCAATGATTTCGGCCAGACAGGCGGCAGACTGAGACCGTCCCGGTGCCAGTTCCCAGTCCCCTCAGCAAGTCTCACCCAGTCTCAGCATTAGCCGCATTGCTGTTGAATTTCCACTGATTTCGTACCCCTGGCGGCACTAAGCAAGCGCCTCAGATCCAGGCACGAGGGGACCCTGGCCAATGGGCGGGAGAGAGGGGGAGGGAAACTGGGCAGCTCTCTGGGATGGGCCCTGGGATGGGGGATGTTATGTTTTGGGTTTTTGGTGACTGGGCCGCCAGGACCACAAGAACGTGGGGTAAATGGCACAGCAGGTCGACCTTGGAATCCTGGTGCGATGCGAGTGAGTGAGTGACTGACTGTGCTGTGTGTGTGTGGTGCCCACTTCAGCTCCGCGCAAGGCACGGGCGGATCAGATCGTCATGCCATCCACCTTGTCACTTCTTGTCACTATCACTGCACGCTCGTGTGCACTTACTGGGCCATGAGCTGAGCTGAACTGAACGTCTTCCTTTTCCTCTCTCCTTCCCTTCCCTTTTCCTGTTCACACCTCAGCCCCTCTCGTGCGAGGAGCGCTGAACTGCTGCTCTGCTCTGCCTGCTCGTTTCTTCGTGTCTTGACTTGTCCTGTCCTGTTGCTCCTATTGCATTTCCATTTCATTTCACTATTTCCCCCTCCGTCTTTTTCCCTAGTTCTGTTCAGTCGTTAGTTTTCTTTTGTCTCGGAGCTCGCCTCTATTTCTCTTTCTCTCCGTCTGTCTCTTCTCTCCATCAGCACCTATTCTAAAGCCGAACCAAAAAAGCTTGTACCGCTAGAGAAACCCTGGAAACTGCGATCTGCCCTGTTACGGAAGCCATTCCCGCGCAATTGTGACGCTCGCACCGACGTTCTTTTTCCCCTTACTTAGACGGTCTTGCTTTAACATTCGACCTGGCCCCAGAATACATACATGCGGACCCGGCCTGGGACTGGAATCATCTCATCGAACAGTCGATACTGTATTGCATCTACTCGAGGAAGGGCGGCAAATCCCGAGCTCGCGTTTGACTCCCGTACCCTTCGTGGTGGGGAAACACAGCTCGTCTCCTGCCCTGTGGCCCTGGATTGTTGTCGATCTCTCGTCTCGTCTCGTCTCCAGGGAAACAGCTCAGCTGCACTGCACCGCACCGCTCTGAACTGCACTGCACCGCACTGACGCACGCACGACAGCTCACAAGCTGTGTGAAGCTGCAGCTTCACTGGCCAGCCACCAACCGCCAGTTGGGCCACTCTCGAAACCCACACCCACTCAGCTCGGCCTCGATAAGCCCCTCTCCCCGATCCCTCGACACAGTCGTATCCACTCCCAGCCGAACGGACGATCCCCACTCTCCCGATCTGAGCACCCGCTCGCGCCCAGGGAACTGGTCGCTGGTCACGTCCTTTTCCTACAAAACGCCCGCCCTCTCGAATACCATTGACCTCTCGAAATAAGGCAGAGAGCATTGAGCGGGCAATATGGCCGGCCGGGAGAGGGATTGGGACGAAAATGCCCAAGGGTCCCCCGACCCCGAGACCCTCTACACCAAGGAGTACTGCATTGGTTCGTCACATGCTTCATGGTGGTCCCACGAGAAGAAGCAATTGGAAACGTGAACAATTGGATTGACTTGACTGTGTAGGTGGCGGTAGCTTTGGCAAGGTCTACAAAGGGTACGCACGTCTCTCCTACTTAGTTGCTTTCTCCCTCCTCTCCCAACACGGCCCCACGGCCCCCCTCTCTGTTGTGCAGTACCAGCTGACATAGCTTTCTCCACCGTGACAGTGTCGACAAGCGCACCGGCCAGGCGGTAGCTATCAAGATTATCGATATTGAGAGCGCCGAGGACGAGGTCGAAGACATTATCCAAGAGATCGCCATTCTGTCCGAGCTGCAGTCCCCCTTCGTTACGAAATACTACGGCTCCTACGCCAAAGGAGCGGAGTTATGGATCGTCATGGAGTTCTGCTCCGGCGGGAGCTGCGCAGACCTCATGAAGCCGGGCAAGATCGAGGAGGAATACATTGCAATCATCGTGAGGGAGCTACTGCTGGGATTAGACTACTTGCACTCGGACAAGAAGTTGCATCGGGATGTGAAGGGTGCGTCGAGGTCCTGCCGCTCTCAGGGAAGCGAAAGAGGGCATTCTGTGCTTGTATCGAAGTGCTGACGCATTTACAGCTGCCAATGTGCTCCTGGGCTCTAATGGCCAAGTCAAACTCGCAGATTTCGGAGTCTCGGGCCAGCTCTCGGCAACCATGACCAAAAAGAACACCTTTGTCGGCACGCCCTTCTGGATGGCACCCGAGGTCATTAAGCAGTCGGGCTACGACCACAGGGCGGATGTGTGGTCACTCGGAATTACAGCCCTCGAGCTCGCCAACGGAGAACCGCCCTACGCAGATATCCACCCCATGAAGGTGCTCTTCCTCATCCCCAAGAACGCCCCGCCAAGATTAGACAAGGACAACTTCAGCAAGGCTTTCCAGGACTTCGTCGCGTGCTGCCTACAAAGAGACCCCAAGGACAGACCAACGGCGAGAGATCTCTTGAAGCACCCCTTTGTGAGGAAGGCTAAAAAGACGAGCTACCTGACCGAGCTGATCGAGAGACATGTACGATGGTCTGCTACCCACAAGAGCGCGGACGATGACGACGCATATGACGAGGTTGGTGAGCCCGCATATCGTGAGCCAGTCAATGAGGACATGTGGGACTTTGGCACAGTGCGGCTGGTGGGCAACCAAGGAGGCATATTGCGGAATCCCGGGTTGAATGCCATGGGCGAGTCGGCTACTAATGCGCGGTCTTCGAGACCCCTCGAGAGTGAGTACGGAGATTCGAGAAAGGAGACAACACCAACCAAGGCCCTTTTGGAACGAGAGCGAGAGACGTTCAAATCGGGCGGGTCGACGTCCGGCACTGCACGGCAGGTATCACCCCAGCGGAAGCCTGTGGCTGGATCGACCTCTGGCCCACAGTCACCAACCAAGGTGCCCTTGCCTCCATCTCCTGCGAAACCAACCACCAGACCGCAAGACCAGGGCCAAGCAACTCCAAGAGCCTCTCAGATGAAGCCTCTTCCTCAAGCTGTCAACAATTCTGCCGACTACGACAGGCCATTACATGAGCAGCTTCAACGGGACATGGGGCACTTGAACCTGGGCTCGGCTATCAACGCAGAACGACGTGTGTCTGGCCCAAGAATGATGCCTCAATCAGCCATGCAGCACCACCAGATACAACGGCAGCCATCCAAGCTTGGCCCTCTGACCTTGCCCGAGATACCTCCCTTTAGGTCAAGCGATCAACAGCACGGAGTACCGCCATCGCCGCTGATGCGGACCCCGAACCAACAACACCCTCTGCCGGTACAGCCGTCGCCGGCGAGACAGTTTTCCCCGTCTGTCGCACAGCACCCGCAACAGCCGCAAAACTATTTCAATCAACACCCGCAAACCCCTCGATCTATACAAACCCAGAATATCAACCCGCTGACCTCGAAGGAGGCGACTCGCGGGACACCGTCGTCGACGCACTCCTTCACGCCTGAGCCCCAAACGCCAACTCCGCTTTCGTTCCCCCCGCCCGCACCAGCCAACCCGAACGGCGACCTCGATGCTCTGAATGACGTCATCTTCCCTGCCCTCGAGGAGAGCCTGAAGAGGCGTCAGATCCGTTTGCAGCAGCTCTACCCTGGCCGGCCGAACAATACCAGTATTGGCAGCGGCAGCGGCGCGCCAACTCCCAAGCAGCAGAGAGCTGAGGCGTCGCACGAGAAGCTCCGCAAGCTGGTCTACAAGCTGGCGCACGTGTGCAAGGAGATCGACCACTTCGACAAGGCGGAGCCCGTGGGCATGGGCAAGGACGTCAGCACGTTCCTGGAGGGGCTGCTGGAGGAGATATTGGTGCGGGTTGAGCCGCTTGATGATGAGGAGGAAATGTGAGCTGTGGAATTGACGGCGTCGTAAGGACTCCGCGGCATGGACTTAAAATTGAAAAAGAAGCCTGGTTGTCACAGGCATATGCGTAGGCTTTATTCAAGGCACGGCGACGAGAACCTGCTTACAGGCACGCCAGTAGTGCACATGTGCCATACTAGGCTCGTCATAGGTATTGGGACCTGGAAGACCCCAAGAAAGATTACTCCGGACAAGAATCATCGACACTCATCCCGCATCGAGGATAGGTGCAGTTTGCTTCCAGAGTGGCTTGAAGGCCAAGGAAGCAGGGCAAGAGGAGACATTACAGATGTGGGTAGATGCATGGAAATCAGAGGACCTTCGAATGTGAGGGAATGAGAAGGGTGGGCTTGGCTGGTGGCTCCCTTTCGTCTGCTGTGTATTCATTACTTATACCCGAGAATTGAGAGGCATATCTGTGAGATTGTTTGCGGCTGTCTTGCTCGTGTCCCTTTCGTCTTTGCACGTGTGATTATTATACGGTCCGCCACACCTGATGTGAGGAGGCGCTTTACCAACTCAACACCACCACATTCCCGCAAATCGTAATACTTCATTGCGGAACCCCTTGTAAGTTATGTACTTCCTATAGAAGGTTATCCAACGGGAAAATATATAAGGGGCTCTCCTATAGGAGATTATTGTACTGAAGGGTTTTCTTCAAACCCTTTTCGAGATTACTTTTCTCCTCATATACACTTCTGCCTCCCCCTCCCCCTTTTTTCCCCCTTACACACTTTATACAAATAATGTGGCCGCAAAGCGAGCACTCGAACTTAAGCTCGTGCTGATAATTGCTTGCATCACCCACAAACTCAACCAGACTTAAATTCCTCCTCCCTCTTCTCCAGCCTGACCAACGTCAGAGCCCCTGCAAGCTTGCACATTCCCACGGGATCCTTTCCAACAGCGCCCCAGAGCTTGTCAACATCGCCCCCGATGCCGATTTCCGCGGCCGTCTCCCTGCTCCGCGGGTCTACGAACGGCGCCAGGCACGGCCACGCCGCCTGCGCAGTGTCGAAGAAGACATCCACGCCCACGTCGCCCAGCTGCTTGATCTCCCTCAAGGCGGTGCGGATCTTGCTGGGGTCGTTTTGAGCTTGCTTTGGGAGGTTGTTTAGATCGCCGTCTTTGATGGCGAGGTTAGCATGTGCCAGTGCTGTTGAGCATATTTTCGAGACGTTTTATCATCCGGACATACCGTAGTGGGCGCTGATGTGCTCGGCTAGATCCCCCAGTGCAGTGGCCGTTTTCTCGCGGTACCGCGTGTACCCTCCCTTCGTCAAGACTTCCGTGCGCTCCTCCCAGGTAGATTTCTTGAGCGTCTCGAGGTCGTGGTAGCCGGCCTTGATCACCTCGGCGGTCGTCTTGGCGGCGAGGTCGTGCGAGATGCGCGCCGAGGAGAGCATCGCGCTGAGAAGTAGGGCTAGGGTGGTCTTCGGTGTGGCGGAGGAGGTTGGCTCCTTCAGGTCCGTGTTGCTCAGCGGCAAGGAGCCGTACTTGTCGATCAAAGACTGGATTTTTGCGTCTTGACCTGATGCTGTGGATAGTTTGCTGGCTTTTTCGTCTTCATCATCAGACTTGGCATCCTTGTCCTTGTCGTCACTGGTATGCTGCTGCTTCTTCGTCGATGTCTTCGCCTTCTTGTTGCTCACTGGCTGGATGGCGCCGTCGACGTTGCCTCCCATTCGCTTGTTGCGCGATTTGCCTGTGCCAGGGTTGCCCGGGGAGAGTGAGGCATCTGACGGCTCATCGTACTTAGCTTGACCCCGCGTCAGGACCATTTTGGTGAGTTTGTGTCGCCAGAAAAGCTGTGTTGAGAGAAGTCTGCTATCTCGGAGGCTGGCGTTTTTCGTGTTTAATACCTAGCGTAAAATGCGCATAAGAGATGACCGGTCCACGATGAGACTAGTTCTTTTCGAATAATCCCTGTCTTTAAGAAACGGTGTTCATTGATGTTTTTCCCTTCAGAAATTTTGTATGTTGAGTGCTGCGGTCGCATGCTGAAGACCTTCTTTGATTGATCCCCACGTCGCCATGGCGTCATCTTCAGGAGACGCTTCCTCCGCTGCGTTGCAGCTCATACTAGATCTGGTCATCGGCACGGCAGAGATGACGTCTGCTAGAACAAATTCAACTGTAATACCTTCTGTCTGAATTCTAAAGTCTATGTCACGTATTTGAAGAAAGGTAATTAGGTGATGGTGAGGGGTCTCTAAAAGATTGGCCATCTAAATTATCTTCAGCGTCATACTCAGCGTCATCTACAGCGTCATATTTGAAATCCGACCAACGTGTCTGTTAAAAGGCGTATGAAACATATAATGGCGAAAAGCTGTCTCGAGATTCACTTTAGGCATAGAGGCGACAGACTTCAGTCACGGCCTTCAAAAAAATAGAAAGGGCCAATTGGTCGATAGACATGGATTCGAAACAGCGCATCGCGAAGCTCGCCAACGGTATCTCGTTGGAATATATCGATATTTGGGTTCCAGAATGCCCCAAGGGCATCATCGTACTACTTCATGGCTTCCCTCAGACAGCGTACCAGTTTCGACATGTCATAGGCCCTTTGTCTAGCGCAGGGTAGGTGTAGACTCGTTCACAATCTTGGTCAGACAGCCAACTAATGCATGATATTCAGATATCGTGTCATTGTGCCAAACTACCGAGGTGCAGGCCGTTCCTCGAAGCCAGCCACGGGGTTCACAAAGTCAAAAATGGCCGACGACATAATCCAGCTCCTGGACGCCCTCGGCATCAAGTCAAAAGTCCACCTCGTAGGCCACGACATCGGCGGGATGATCGCCTGGGCCATCGCCGCTCGCCATCCGGATCGTCTTCAGACTGTCAACTGGGGCGAGTGCCCTCTTCCAGGTACCTCGATTCACCAAGAGGACCGCACCGATCGTGCAATCGATCAGTTCCACTTCATCTTCCACTGTGTGCGCGACCTGCCAGAGGCATTGATCGCGGGGCATGAGGAGATCTATCTCAGCCACTTCTTCAACAAGCTCACGTTTAACATGGAAGCCATCGGGCCCGAAGACCTCGATCATTATGTGAGGTCGTACTCCCAGCCCGGAGCGATGAGGTGTGCCCTCGAGGTCTACAGAGCGTTCTTGGAAGATGCGGAGGAAAATAAAGAGTGGATAAGGAGCCATGGAAAATGCAAGGTACCAGCTATTGGAATGAGTGGTGAGAAGAGTGCGCACTGTGAGCAGGCGAGGCGGATGTTGGCAGAGGTGCATGAGGACGGGACGTATGAGGTCGCAACTGTGTCTGATGCAGGACATTACCTGGCCGAGGAGAACCCGCAAGGTTTTGTGGATAAAACACTGGCATTTATTGAGAAGCATCAGAAATGACGAGCTCAAAGGCAAATTACACTCACAGAATGCCCTGGATATGGAACCTAGTTTTACGTGGGAAAGGCTCCAAGCAAGAGGCTTGAACCACACCTTGCACAGAATCCACACAAGAGCTCGCCTTTTCTTTCCCGGGTTGTAACTACAAGCAAAATTTGCATTCGAGCCATTCGAAGAGCAGCTCTCCCGCACATTCTTCGCGCTGAAACCTTCATTTTTGGATCATTAATTCACATGTTAGAAAATATCTAGGTAAGCAAATCCTAGCTATACCTTAGTCCAAGTAGAATTGTGCAGCCATTCTCCCAGGATCTTCTGATATTCTTCAGTCTTCACCTGGGCATCTTGGAATGCTTCCTGACTGCCGTGAAAATCGACAGGATCCAAATCGAACCCATGAATCTGATCTGGGATGAGCAACCACTGCACTTCTCTGCCATCGTCGTCAACGTGCTTGAAAGCGAAGCGCTCATCGTCCAAGATCAGTTTTCCCGGAACACCAGGTTTTTCTTGACCAACCTTGTCATCTGATGATGGCTCCGGTCGGCGGGCGAGCACGCTAGCCATACGCCACGCTTCGTGGGCTAAGCGGTCGAGCTCCGCCGCGACGATGAAGACCTTCTTTGGCATATGCTCGCGCGGCGCAAAGAAGGGAGACAGCAGAGGGTCTTTCAAGTGCTGTCCGTACGGGACATAACTCCACCCAAACAAGTGAGATACCGGCGACAGCACGTCAGTAGCATTGGCGCGTCGGCCTGAGCCAAGCTCGGGTTTGTAGTATCGTTTCTCCGCTTTCTTCGCGGCGTTTGTGGCTAGGTCGACGAGTGGGTAGATCGGGCACACGGCCATTGGCTTGACCTTGTCCCGGATCGTTTGCAGTTGGCACACAGCAAGGGCGAGACTGCCGCCTGATGAAAAGCCTCCAACTGCTATGCGATGATTATCCAATGGGAGACTCTCATCGCCGTACACAGCGAGCATGAGCGCCTCAACGTCGTGAATGGCTGTAGGGAACGGGTAGGCGGGCGCCTTGCGGTAATCAAGCTCAACCACGAGAACGCTGTGCTTGTCGGCAAAGGCTCGATTCCACTCGTCGTCATCTTCTGGACTTCCGAGACAGAATCCTCCTCCGTGGATGTTGAAGTAGCATGGTAGACGCTCGGACGAATCACGATCCCGGTTCGTGGGGCGGAAGATGCTTCCTACAGATCAGCTGCATTCTCATCTGAATTCTTGGCATGGAGTGGAACACAGTAGTAAATATCTTACCGAACAGAAAGAGAAGGACGGCAGGTATAGGTCTTTATGAGTGATGGCGCTACGTTGGAACGCGAAGGAAAGGCCCATCGATACCATCGCTCTGAAGCGGCAATAGTCTGTATAATTCGGACCAAGAGGCCATTGTACAAGGCAGTCGAGAATGGTGCAGAAGGCTGCACTTCCTGTGCTTGAGAAGTCATACCTGCAGGTGCATATTTCTCGATCTGCTCAAGTAATGAGATCTGTTTCGGTCGTCACTTATGCAGGCAATGGTAGGACGTTGAGACGGTCTAGGACTTTCGGCGCTAATCATGTCGTGCGGAGGATCCAAACGGGCCAAAAGTCCCTTACCTGAGCGTGCCTGAGGAGATAAGGGTCACCCTTGTCACCCTAATTTGAGTAGATCCCTGATTCGAACTTCCAAACATTCCTCTGATTCCCGAAGCATAGCAAGATTTGAAGAGGACCACTACAGTTGTAAATACATGCTGATGAGAGAATCGAGGCTATGCCCTCGAAACATGTTGGCTGATGCTATGGGTTTCTCAGCACCGGCTTAATGACGCAGCCCTGAAGCTCAATGCCACACATTTCATATATAAATCGACGGAGTTGGACTCCGAACTCACCAGGGGGTGGCTTGTGATACTTGTATCGACATCAACCACACGATCCTTGGAGATGCAAGTGAGAAGTGAGGCGGTTCATTGAGTGCTTCGAGCTCCCCACAATGTGGTGCAGGGTCAGCAGGATTCAACTTGAGACCATGGACTTTCAACCTGGGCAAAACCTAGCATGGCGTACAGGGGACAGTTGGCAACAGCTTGTGCAAATTCGGACTACTCCGCCCTTTGCTTCTCCCAGACTGTTGAGAAAAATGCTAGCTACTGCAATTTGACCGTCTCGCCGCTCTGCCGTGGAGAGATACACCGAAACGTATCTGATCTTGCAGATTGGCAACCCACTTCATCACATTGGAGTGGGAAATCTGGCGCCATCAGTGTAATCGACTTGGTTCAGTAGATCCTGCAGTGACATGGTATTCAATGGAATTGACTTCGATGGATTTCTTATTTCGGAAGGGTGGATCTCGCGGCTGAAGTTCGACCAAAAAGGGAAAAGGGCGCAGAACTCCCGACGCTGTCGACTGCCGGAACTCGATCATCCTGCCTGCAGACTTGTGCAAATTAGTCTCGAATAGTGATGGACTATGCCTTTCTTTGGCTTGAATGACGCATGTCTAGGTTTCGTAGGGGTTATGGAGAGTGGAGGCAAGGGCTCATTATTTAACTAGAAACTGACTACTGCAGATAGATCAGGCATCTACATCTTGGAAGGTCCCGACGAGAGCCTACGTAGAGATTGTATACATGTATTGCTAGCTTCTCTCTGTCTGTCCTGTTCGACGGACTGGAAATGAAAACCAGGACTAGTTCGTAACTCTTTCCGCCTTTCTCTAGTGATCTCTTGCCCAGCAATGATCCCTGATCCAAGTAAAGAATGAATTCTTTTTCTTCTTTGTTAACTTGAGAGACTCAGAGAGTGGCTGAGGTAGTTACAGATTGTGATACAGTGTCTTGATACCGATAAAAATACGAGCTTCGGAGCAACCTCACAGCTAGTGAGATCCGCCTTAGAAGTCCTGTACAGGTTACCACTTTGACACCGATTTTACTCGTATAGTCCCTTCTGAGGAACTCGTAATCATTGTTACACAACCGATTGAGATCAGACGATCGATGACAATGGTAAGGGGTGCATTAGGATTCACACCCTGGCTCTTTGATAGTCTAGCTCCATCGCCCGCCATAAGCGTACCCATGAGATTTGAGAATAGCCAGCCCACTGAATCCTTTGCTCTTTGTCAGCTCACATTTCTGTTTGGAAAGAGATCTCCCCTTATATCCGGCCCACCACAAAGGCTTTGTTCTTGACTGCTTTCCTCTTTTCCGCCCAGAGATCGTGGCTAAACGAGATACAATGGCGATTCATCTGCTCTCGCCCAAGAACGCACCTGCAGCCGTTCTCGGCATTTTACTGGCTCTGCTGTACTGGCTCTACCGTGCACTGCTCCCAAAGCCGATCGAGGGCATCCCCTACAATACAAATGCAACGACTCGGATACTGGGCGACATGCCCGAGATGATGCGCTATGTCCTGCGCACAAAGCGCGTCTTCGTGAGTGACTCTGCCGCCACGGCCGCTTGGAGCTTCAGGAACATTCGCAACCGAGTTCTCTTACAAGGTACTCGGTAAAACTGATCATTCTCCCCGCTAACATATTTGAAGTGCTGGCTCACTTCACTTACAACCCGTCACAAGAGTCCGATCGTTCAAGTTTTTGTGAAACCATTCTCTGCACCATGGGTTGTCCTTACGGATCCTTTCGAGAGCCAGGACATTCTGCTGAGGCGGACGCGAGAGTTCGACCGCAGCAGCTTTGTTGGAGACCTTATCGATGGCGTCTTTCCGGAACAGCAGCTGCACATGATGTCAACAGACGAGCGCTTCAAGCGAAATCGTGCACTCGTCAACCATCTTATGGCGCCCACCTTTATCAGCAGCGTCAGCGCCCCAGAGGTATATCAAGCGACAATTTCCATGATCTCGTTGTGGGAGATGAAGAGTGACATCGCCGAGGGGAGGCCATTTGCTGCGCACAAAGATCTTATGAGCCTAGGGCTAGATTCTATCTTTGCGAGCTCGTTTGGCCTGGAAGAAACTGAAAGTAATATCTTTTTACGGATTGCGACGCTCCAGCAGTGGCTAGAAACTTCAGATCAGGTCGAGAAGACTAAGGGAACCAGAGACACGCCCGTGCCCTTCCCTGTGGAGGCTCCTGTCCCGTCTGTATTCGAGGCCATCCTTACCCTCGCTGACTCCGTCATGATCTACCAAATGTCACCCGCGCCGCGCCTCACCTCCTGGATGGTCCGCAAGCTGCCGTACATGCGACGCGCGTATGCTATTAAGGAGAATTATATCGCCGCCAAGACAGACGAATGTCTTCAGCTGATCAAGGCGGGCGACGACCGGCCGCGTTCAGCACTCCACAGCGTGCTCCTCCGAGAGCGCGACATAGCAGCCAAAGACGGCCGCCAGCCAGACTACAGAAGCCGGGCCATCGCTGATGAGTTCTTCGGCTTTATGACCGCAGGTTACGATACAAGCGCCACGACGGTATCGTGGGGCGTCAAGCTCCTTGCGGACAACCCGGCACCGCAGGCTCGTCTGCGCGAGGAGCTGAGGAAAGCACTGCCTGACGCTTTGCGGGAAAAGCGCACTCCAACGTATGCAGAGCTCGACGCAGCGTTTCGCAGGGTCCCATATCTGGACGCGGTCGTCGAAGAGGTCCAGCGCCACGCAAACACGATTACCTTCTCGGTGCGGCAGGCGAAGGTAGACACCACGGTGCTGGGACGGCGGATACCCAAGGGCACGGAGGTTTTCATGCCTGCAAACGGGGCGGGCTATCGTGAGCCGACCATGCGTATCAGCGATACGGAACGCAGCCCCGGCGCGAGGAGGACAGAGGGCAAGGCGCTGAGTGGGGCTTGGGACGATGCCGATATTGCCGACTTCAAACCGGAGCGATGGCTCAAGATTGACCAGTCAACCGGGGCTGAGGTGCATGATCCAATGGCCGGGCCGCAGCTGGCGTTCGGTCTGGGGCCGAGAGGTTGCTTTGGAAAGAAGCTGGCCATTCAAGCCCTCAAGATCGAGTTTGCGATGCTCGTGTGGCATTTTGAGTTTCTGCAATGCCCGAAAGAGCTGAGTGGGTATGAGGGGGTTCAGAGATTCGCGCTCGAACCGAGAGACTGTTATGTCAGATTAGCGAAAGCTGTCTTTTAGCTTCTAGAAGGCAATATGCGTTACGCAGCTCGCGTTGACATACTAGGATGGGTGGACATAATCGCTTGCCGCCGCTTGACAAAGGTCGACGCTGTGGGTGAGGTCATGCTGTGACGGAGGCAGTCGAATGATCATCACTAGCACACGCAAACTCCCACCAAAGGCAGGTGGCGTGAGTTGCATCTGGTATGCTATTCCACATCTGTGTAGTAGTGCATATTGCCGGCTTCATATGCGGGTAGAGAGCACGCCCTTGCGGCATGCTGATGCGCCGTCGAGATAGGATGTTCGTTGCAACGTGGCCAATTACGAAAAAGAGATACGTGATTGATCTATTGGCGTCCTACAATCCATCTCGTAGGAGCACACCTCGTTCTCAGTTTCATTGATTTGGAGATAAGATGGGAATACGACGTAGACTAGTGGCTGCAGGCTGTACATCACGCTTGGTTTATCAGTGGCTGTTCAAATATCCGGGAATGCCTCCTCCCAAGCGGCAATCGACAAGAAATCTGTTACCCATCATTTAGCATTCTTTTTCCGTGCTCATCTCGCAATAGACTGTCGACTCGGTCACTGAATATGGTAGCTAGCCTTTCCCAGTCATTTTGTTCTAAGCTGACACATTTGAGACCAACTCCTCGTTCCAGCATGTCGGCATCATTGGCGCAGGCATCGGCGGCCTTGCATGCGCCATCGCAATACGCATTCACAGCCAAGGAGCCCTCAAAGTCACCATGCTTGAGGCAGCTTCCGAGCTGGGTGAAATCGGCGCAGGTATCCAGATGACCCCGAATGTAGCACGGCTACTCCAGCGATGGGGCGTGGCGGATGTGATCGGCAAGAATCTAGTGTCTTTTGAGCGGTTCCAACTCCGGACAAAAAATGGGAAATTGGTCGGGTGTTCAAGCGCTCCGGGACACGCAGAGCGATTTGCTGGAGCCCCATGGTGGCTGGTCCATCGGATGCACCTCCATGACGGGTTACAACACGTTGCAAGACAGAGGGGAGTCGAGCTAATCACCGGTGCGAGAGTGTGTGAGATTCATTATCAAGTCGCTGGAGAAGAGAAGGTAAAGGTGATGGATGACACAGGACGGTATTGGGATTTCGATCTTGTCATCGGCGCGGATGGCCTGAATTCTGTAACGAGACGGACGATACTCCCCCACGCGCAGCCGAGTCCGCCAACCAACGTAGCTGCATACAGGGTTCTGGTACCTATGGAGCAGCTCATTTGTGATCCTCTTACGAGAGAGCTGGTGGAGAAGCCGAATGTTAATGTCTGGATGGGCGCTAAGGAAGGCAAGGAGCACGGATATGTGATCGCATACCCTATCAGTGGTGGAAGTGTCTACAACATTGTGCTCACCCATCATAGACCGTACCCAGTCACGAGCGTCGAGGACGCTACCGCGGATGAAATACGGTACACATACGGGGAGTATGATCCTCGGCTCCAACGGATTCTGGAGACGATACCGAAAACCGTGCGTCGCTGGCCATTGTTGGTTACGCGCTGTCCCACGTGGTCTTCACCACAAAAGAATGTGGTTCTAATGGGCGATGCTGCTCACTCGATGGTGAACCATCTTGCGCAAGGCGCGGCAACGTCAATGGAAGATGGAGCCTTCCTCGGTGTTATACTGAGAGAGGTAGCCAAGGGGTCTCTGACACTGAAGGGTGCCATCTCCAAGTACGAGGAGGAAAGGATGCCGCTGGCGGACCTCAAGCAACAGAAGTCCTTCGTTATGGGCCTGGTGTATCACCTCGAAGATGATAGCCCAGAGCAGCGAGCAAGGGATAAGCAAATGGAGCCGGAGCTGAAAGGGGAACAGCTCATCCGCACTCCCAATATGAACGCTGACCCACAAATTTGGCGGACAATCTACGGTACACACCACATTCATTTCCTCGCAAGCTTAGGGAACTAATCTTGAGTGCAGCTTATGACCCGGAGAACCATGCGGAGATTGCTCTTAGACAAGCGTTGTCGAACAGCAGCCTGCAGAATCCTGTTACTTACGTGACCAGAGACGTTGTAAGATTGCTCCCTGCGAACTCGATGTTTCTCGTTGACCTGATATAATCGATGGCAGGCCGAGACATACATGACCTACTGGCTACCAAGAGATAGTTCAAAGATCAAATCTTTGCTGTAATGCTTACTTAGACTAACGCGACCCGAAATCCTTATTGTCTAAATGGGAGCTTCTGTGGGGTCCGATCCTGCGCCAAGTCATTATTTTCTGCTATCTTTGCTGTTATTGGATCTCGTGATATGTCTACATTGGGCTGGATCGACAGCAGTCGATGTTGCACAAGGCCCTGCCGCAGCGGGGTACAATTTGATACAGTCAGAATCCTCATAGCCAATTCCGTCCCATCTCAAAATTTTGGAAATTGAACATTCAGTCACTTGTTTTCTGCTTCGGGATCACAAAATCAATGGCTTCGCGAATAAAGCTACTGTACTTAGCCGTGGCCTGGTCATTGTATCATATTGGCGCCCTTGCACGTGGAACTATTACTAGACTCGTGCCACAGCAGACCAATCACCACGGCCACCGTCTTCGTCGTCAGGACACATCAACATTGTCAACATGTGGAGGTTATACAGGCTATTACGAGTGTCCATTCAGCCTTGGTGGAGGATGCTGCCCTCAAGGACTAATTTGTACCACCGGCCAAGCGTGCGATCCTCCCTCGACCACCTCGACGACCACGAAAGTGTATTGCGATCAAGGGTGGTTCGCCTGTCCTTCCAGCTACGGAGGTAAGGTTATTGCCCTGTAAGACACTAGCAACTAAACTCATTATCGACCTAGGGGGCTGCTGCCTCGGCGGTGGAATCTGTGGCCCGGGAGTATGTAGCTTGTACTCGTCATTCACGGCCACAGTCACTTCGGCAAGCTCTGGCGAGCAGACTGGATTAGTACTCAGCACTATAACTTCGACATCTGTCTCTAGCCAGATCGACCCGACACTCACCTCAGTCTTCTCCGTAGTAGTCCCAGGGACGGAGACTGCGTCCCGAGTAACGACTACCGTTTTTGCCACCGGTGGTGCGACTGGCGGCCTGACGGCAGGTCAGATAGGGGGCATCAGCGCCGGGGCGGTTGTGGGTTTCCTCCTTCTGGTGGCGCTGGGATGGCTTATTGTGCGGCATCTGATCCGGATCTCACGATTCATGGACAATTTCAACAAGCACCGTGAATTGCCTGAGAAGCCGATTATCAAAGAAGATATTCACGGGCAAGCCATAGAACTAACAGCAATTGACAGCAGCAACGGTGGTGCTGGCCAAACGCTTACTGAGTTGTCACCACAAGAGAGGCCGCAACTTCTAGAGGAGTGGGGAAGACATGGAAGCCGTGGAAATGAGCTCACAGGGAGCTACGAAGCACACGGCTTGTCTGAGTTGGACAGTGCATCTGTAGTGAGGACTTGAGATCATTATGAGCGGTTCTGCCTCCCAGGCGACCTGGTTCTCGATACCAAAACAGTGGGCACGTTTATCGGATTGGATTCAATAACTCAATTTTCTGCTTAAGAGGCAGTCGTCGATTAAGAAAGAGTCAAGCGCAGAACGGAGCGCGTATAGAGTCATTGCTAACTATTAAAGAATCAACTATGATTACCTTGCGCAGTCAGGTATCCTTCCACAAACTAGTACAACCGCCGAAAAGAATGATCATGATTGCATGACCTTGGCCATAAAGAGATAAATTCCGCTTCCATGGCCCCAGCACTCATTGACAACAATTCCGTTTCCGAAACCAGGGCCGATCGAGGCTACAGCATGCGCCTGCACAGTTCGCAACTGTCATATAGGGAGTTCTTGCACATTCACAGTCTCCATTCGGATCTTTGTAATTGCCGCAGTAATGGGTGCACCAAGTCTCGCAGACCAACCATCTTGACTTGTTGCGTTTGAGTAGACGTAGGAAATCATGCCCAGATAGGTCACCAAACATGACTTGAGTGGGGTGAAATTTGAAACACAGATTACCAAATTCGTCCTTGCCAGGTTTCACCAAACGATCCATAACTTGGGCAAAGTCATTGTTGACCTCAATTTCCGAATTGTTGTCTACAATTTGCTGTAGGTAGTCGAAAGCTGTGTACCCCTTTTTGTTCCTGACGTGAAGTGCTGCGCCATTTTCTTGCAATATTGCGATAGTCGACTGGATGAAGAACCACGCTTTGATTTCAGATAGACTTCCTTCGATCGCCCTCCAACGTGGCTTGTTGGCGATGTGCTTCAGGAAAGAAGTCATGGCAGTATCGCCGTTCTCGTCAGTCTCGGCTGGGCTAAATCCGGACCTGATCAGGGCGTGCAGCACAGATGATGCCATTTCGAGCCGTTTCTCGACCACGAAAGGCCACTCTTCGTTCAAGGAGTCCCAGAACTGGTTAAGATACGCTTTTGGCCTTTTGGGTTGCTGGTGGATCTTGAAAGCCTGCAAAATGGCCAGCAATCTGTCTCCTCCAACAGCTGGGGGTGCTCCCCCAAATTCGGCGGGATGCGAACGGATAGTCCTGCGGATTACGTGCTCAAAAGGTGTTACCCTTCCCTCATCGTGACCTGCTAGAATATCGGCTCCTTTCTCCAGCAATTTGGATCGCATGATTCCAATGATAGCCGGAGAGTTTGGAAAAAAGCTCCAACCGATCACCCTCATTAAAGAATTGATCCCCTTTGCGTCAAATGCGTTCACATCTTCTGCAGTGCTGTTTGCAAGCAGAGCATCTAAGAAATCGATTATGTCTTGTTGACTTGAGTTCATGCACGTGAAACTCTGCGTTGAGCACGCAGCTGTGAGCGCGGTGGACTGCAAGTTTGAAGACCTTCGCTCTGCATCTGCCCCATGGTGCAGAAGTAATCTGGCAAGTCTGAACTGACCTTTTCGAATAGCCCAAATAAGAGGAGTTGCTGTTTCATCACCATAATTTAGCCACACCATCTCAACATTACTTCGTGGAGGGCGAGGACCCGGGTTGTTTGGGTCTGCACCATATCGCAGGAGAAGCTTCACAACGTCTTCTTGCGCTGTATCATTTCTACCGTTGCACGCAATCATGAGTGGTGTCAGATCTTCGTGGTTGCGCTCCTCAATTGGAAATCCGTGTTTGAGCAGGAATTCGATGAAGTCATAGTTAAGTCCGTGTTCATGATGGACGTATAGTGAAACGTGTACAGGGTTCTCGGTCGTCCAGTACTCTTCATCAGTTCCATGAAACACCTTCGTCATCCGACGTGCGCCCTGGCTGACCAGCACTTTGGCTGTATCATAGCTCCCCTTGCAGACCGCGACGTGGAGGGGCGTAAAGACAACCAGATGGTCTGCGTGGTGCCTAGTGTCGACAAAGGCTGTCACGCTGGATGGCATAAGATCCTTAGAGCAGGAGCAGACCTCTACAGAGGTCTCATCCATATCTGCCCCATTCGCAAGCAAGGCCGCCGTGATCGCAGCGTTGTCGAATCGAGCTGCGGTATGAAGGGGAGCGTGCCAACATTGGAAAAGTCGGATGTATTCAAGTTTCACCTCACGCTTGTCCATTTGCTCGGGAGATAATTCTTCTGGAAATGTGAAGTCACTGTCAGGCGGGCTTGACAAATGATTGAACCTGGCATCCTCATTCTCCGGACATTCGAACTCGTTTGGCGGCTCAGACCTATCGTTACAACTTGCGCGGAGTGCGGCGTAACACACTTGTGTCGGTTGCCTGCCCCAACCTGTAACCCCGTAATAATGGGTCCGGAATTTCGCCAATTGATCCAAGCTCGCTTTTGAAAGGCCTTGCCGAGAGAACCAGGCATATTCCCAAGGCAAGGGCGCAGAAGGTGGAGTCGGTGGGCAGCCAACGTGATATAGTTGCTTATATAGGGCCCAGAGAAGTTTGCGGCTAGTGTCCAGGCCGTATCCCGCAGGCCGAAAGTTGGTAATATTCGTCGGATATTGCACAAGAGGACGGGCTGACGTCCACAATTGGTTTGGGTCTGCGCCCTGTTCGAACGCGATCCTCAAAGTTCCGACTCGACTGTGCATTGCAGCCCAGTGAACAATGTGAAAGGTTTCGTGCTTGAGGACAAGATGATATAGTTCAGGGTTGAGTTTGCGGTGCAACTCTTTGTTCGTCCTTACGAGGGCCGAGGCATCACACTCACGTCCTGCTTCAAGACAGAAGCGGAGAAAGAGGCATCGGACCTCTGTTGGGATTAAAGTGAACCGGCCGCAATCAGCAGCCGGTTGGTATTCAAGAGCCCATGACTGCCCATCGGCTGCGGGCGGGTGGACTTCTCTGACCATGTTTAGAAATTTGTTTGGTCGTCGGCGATGTTAGGGTGAGCTGAAGACGAGCTCGATTTAACAATGAAGGCGTCAGAAGGATCTAATGGTGGGCCTTCGAGCTTTGCAGAGGAACGAGCTGAGATTTTCGAATCCTTTCATAAGATGCGATGGAAATAGTAAGAGAAGACCGCCTAGTGGGTATAATGTAGCTGCACGTAGGCGCACAAAAATTGGGAAATTTGGAATTTCAATCAATATTTGAGCGGTTCGTTCAACTCATGATAGCGCTAAATCGGCTTTGAGGCCAACATAAAGTGATGCTAGTATGCTACTTGACTTGACTATTATTTCTTATTATGAGCTTTGTGCGATGCCCTCGAATGTATAGTGGGAAGCACTAGATCATAGTAAGTGTTTAGGTTGCTCAGTAATTCAAGTGGACATAATTAGTCCAAGCTGCCCACGAAACTATGAGTGCCATCCGGGTTCACATCCGAAATGACTTCTAGTTAGTTACGCCAACGCGAACCCATGATGCGACCAAAAAAAAAGAAATTCCTTCGTTCTCATGAAGTTACACTGCTGGCCAGGCACAGAGCTTCGAAAACGGCACGTAGTCGCTCACTTTGACGGGCATAAAATTGGAAGCGTTCACACGATAAGAACCCATGGCCTGCAAAGTATTTTGGACTGTCCCGCTCTCTACTAGTAGTCATATGTGTAACTGGTCCGATGCACCAGCTGGAATTTTGCTTGTACCACGGCTGCAGTGGGCAACACTAGACGACTAGAATTGTTCGTAGACTTTCTTGCAGAGAGATCTAGTGCGAGGGTCTTCTGAAAGTGGAAACGGTGTCCTGTGGGGTGGCTGATTGGGTCTGCTAACCCTTCCTACATGTGCAGATGATGGTTTTGCCATCTTGACGCCTCTAGCGATTGAGGTCTGGCCTGCGATTAAAATACGGTATGTGACCTCAATCAAGTCCTGATGATTGTGACAAAACTTACTGCCGAACGTTGTATCAGAGCGGATGCCACTTGGGGACAGTATGTAGGTCCTCGTTTATGAGGCCTTTACGCCTTTCGAAGCGAATGCTGCATGTTCCGCGTAGCCAATTTTTACACATAAGCACAAAGTGAGGTCGTCATGAAGGAAGGGGGCGTCCGTGCAGCACTGGCTGTCTTAGACCAACCAAAGAGTGACAACAAAACAGGCAACTGCAGGAGATCATGCGCATTGGATTTTGGATTCATGGCCGTATGCTACGCGCTTCAGCTATCCAAATAAATCATCGATACCCTGTGTGCCCTGGACAATGAGGTCCTCTGCCTAGTGTGTTGGGCATCAGGCTTCTACGGCTCAGTTGCCGCTGGTCCATTCCTTGACCTGTTCCGTTGGCTCAATGGCCTAGGTCACAACACCGATAAGTCGGAAGAAAGCCTTGAACTTGGTGTTGTAGAAGTTTCAATGACCAAAAGGAAAATAGAGGCAGTAACGGATCACATCATACAATATATAGTCTGATCACTTACCATGCAGGACGGGAAGAGACGCAACTTCCGCCTGTTCAGCATTGAACGCGCTCCGAGTATGTCATGCGAATTCGGCACCCGACCCCATTGATCGCATGTCGAGACGAGAACGACAATCGGCGGATCTGGTGTCCTCTTTCCCGGGCGATTTGTGTATCAATCTTCACCTAAACCTGTATGCATTAACAGGAAGTATTCGTCAGGAGTGCGTCTGTGCGCCCCTTCAAGGATATGAATGAGCTCGCCTGATCTCGCTAAAACGGGTGTGAATGAGCATTCGCAGTCGTGGTGGACCCGGAAAAGAGTTGTGATTAGGTCATCGGGAAACTCCACTTGGAGCCAATGGTTATCGGCTTGAACAGATGTGAAGACTCTGTAAGAAGTTGCACGCTGGTCAGCCGGAAGAGTCAGCGCTCTTGAGAAGCCATATTCTTTTCTTGAAGAGAAGAACTAATTCTCCGACGACTCGTCTGTTTCTCAACTCTTCATTTGATTTGGACCTTCTTTTGATAGCGAGACTTTATTCCACGTAGTCTCATGGGTGATATTTTTCCTCGTGCGCACTCAATTCAAGCAATACCGAGCTCCTTTATAATGAGAATTTTTGTAACATTTCTTTTAAGTCCATCATCCTCGTTGTGAGCAGATAATAAAGGATTGTTATCGGACGACGGGGACGAGGTGTCAGCTGTATAAAATACATGGTGGAGCGTCCCCTATAACGGACTCCACTCATTTGGCGGTGACTCCTGATCTCCCTTCTTTCGCTTGCAATACTTATACTAACCAACTCGCATGCTCGAATTGTCTTTCAGAGCCTTCAAAGTGAAACCAGCATGAAGTCAGCGCGTTTTAGTCCTCTACGAGGCTCGACTGTAAAGTCCATAAAAAAGTATCGTTTGAGGAGTGCCTCCTCATAACAACAATATTGAACTGAAGCTCTTTATAATTACATCAGCGTTTCTCACCATGGCCTTCGAAGACCGTTGCCTACGCGTAGCAATGCTCAACGCCGATACATCGGTCCCAAACGTATATGCCAACCTTGGCACTTTTGGCGACATTCTACACCAGAAATTGCTTGCTGCAGCGCATCGGACGTATGGCCATTTGTCTATCGTACACTCGGTCTATAATGTTGTCAAAGGCGAATATCCTGTTTCGTTAGATCAATTGGACGCCGTCTTTATCACCGCATCGGCGGCTTCTTCGTACGGCGATGAAGCTTGGATCAAGGGACTGGAAGACTACATCGTGATGGTGTACAAGACAAATCCCGAAATCAAATTGTTCGGCAGCTGCTTTGGCCATCATATTATATGCCAGGCCTTGTTGAAGGACCATGGTGTGCGCGTTGCGAGACACCCGAACGGCTGGGAAATTGGGGTCAGCCAAGTCGAATTTACAGATGAGTTCAGGGAGGCATTTCCCGACCTCCAGTCGGCAGCTGTCAAAAACAGCTGTCTGCGACTGCCCAACCGGCTGCCAAGCCCTGAGAGTGACCATACAGATGAGAAGAACAAGCCATCATGTCACGTCCGGAGCGCAGATCGCATGGTTCCTCGAAAAGCCTACCTGCAGTTCGTGCATGCCGATGAAGTTGTCCTGCCATCGCCAGAATTCTTGCTACCAGAGCCATGGATGTTGTTGGGCTCCACAGAGCATTGCAAAGTCTCTGGGATCTATCAACCCGGGCGGGTGCTTACACTTCAGGGCCATTTTGAATTTGACACGTTCGAGAATCGGGAAACTATGAGAATTTTTGGTGCCGATGAGGGTTCCAACCTGGCAGAAGACAATAGCCCTGGCGCCGGGCAGACCTCAGGACCAGAGTCCGAGGACGGTGACACCGTGGCGGACATCGTTCTCCGGTTTCTGGCAGAACAATGGGCTGACACTTGGGTGAGAAGTGACAAATTTTCAGAGCATGGTGATCTACCAACACCATGACTGTCAGCGAAGACACTCAGTCTGCGCTGGTCACGAATCAATTCAAGACATGCCTTCAATGCACTCCGAAATATTCAAAATCGCGCCCTTCGCGGGCTACAGTGAAATGTTTAGTACAATAAGCAGGATGCAGATGATACAATCTCATTCTTGACACCGTCACATGATTTTCATATTCTGGATTGGCAAAATAGCTAGTATCGAATTAATCCAAAGTAGATAATATGAAAGTCCAAGAGGCCCACAAAGCTCAGGCTTGAACGGCCTCACAACAGGGTGCTTGCGCCATCACCTCCACCCCTACGAGTTTTGGACTAGACGAACGCACGCGTCGCGTTTTCAACAGTGGCGATGTACGTTGCTTATCAAAGACCTCTCTGATCTAGCATGTGTTTTGCCCATTGCCAGGGAAGGTCCCAGACTGATACGCGCCGCTGGCATCTCCTAGACACTCAGCTATACCACTGTTAGTAACTGATGCAACCTTGGCTCAAGAAGCGCGCAGGTCTATCTAAAACATCAATGCTTACCGACGGTAACAATCTTCAAGTTATTGGTCTTTGCCCAGTTAATCAACCACGTGGTGAGGTCATTGACCGTCGAAGAATACGTCTCATGCATCAACGGGATGTGGCCATTTCCGCTGGCTCCAGCCGCCTGGAACTTGGCCTGGCTCTGAGCAGCTGTCTGACCATTCCAATCGCCGGTGTCGATGTCGTCGGTGATAATGTTGTAGCCGAGGGACTTCATCACGGAGGTGACGCTGCCCCCGGTCTCGAGGTAAGGAGGGCGCATATACGCGGGTTTCTTGCCGAAGATGTTGACAAAGGCCTGCTCCAGCTTGGTCATCTCCGTAGTAAGCTGGGAGGAGGACATCGAGCCAACATGGCCATGTGTCCACGTGTGCGAGGCCACTTGGTGCCCACCGTCGTAAGCAGCCTTGACTGCCGCCGCCTGATTGTAGATGCACCCTGCGCAGAGCAGTCAGAATGGATGATTTCCCATCGTGAACCCTTTTTGAAGGTCAAATTGCGCCTACCGTAAAGTGTTCCAGTGAAGAAGAAAGTCCCCTTGACTCCGGCCTGGTTCAGTTTAGTCACCAGGCTCTGCGTATACTGATAAGGTCCATCGTCATATGCCAGAGCAAGAGTGTTTGGAGTGCTACATTTTGTGTAGACTGTTCCAGGTGTTGGGGCTCGACTAAAGATGGTCACGGGGTCGGGTACAGGGTGCGCGACGACCAGTGCGAGAAAAGAGCTGAGGATAAGGCTGTAATGCATTGTGTTTTTGTTCCTAGGACCCTGGGAGGTTGAATTCGAATGACTAGATCAGTCTAAGTTTATCAAGGTACCGATTGAGAGGGACCTGGGATCTGCCTTCTAATATCATATTTCGCCTCACGTAACTGGTAATGTGTTCCGGAAATGACATTCGAAAATGGCTTCATCGATATTTGGATGGCTTCAAATTGATTCTCTCCATGAATTGTTAATTTGAAACTACCTTATAGCAGCCGGCTTGGCGCTTGGCATGAGGGGCCTTTCAGTGTTAACAACCACAGCAGGTGACATTCACCTGCTAGACTGCGAATTTAGCCGCTATTAGCTTCCTTGTACCAAGGACATCATCGGAGACAAGGAAGAGTGTGTGCACATTTTCCTTTTCCCCGCTTGATCACGGGTGCACTACTGACAGACGCGAGTGGCAGCTGAGTGTTCAACCTGGGCCGCAGCCTAACAGGCTCTATCACAACCATTGTCACGTCCGTGTCTCTACGTCTCTCAAAGCGTTCTGGATGTCAAAATGATCGGTGAAACAAGTCCTGCGAGTCTGACTCACGAACTTAGACTCGATTGTCCGCTTCGCGGCCACTGTACATATGTGAGGAATAAATAAAATAAAAGGAGGCGCCATACAAGAAAAAGCCAAGATCTTACAGAACAAACAGAAATTCTCCTTCTGGGAAATCGTTCCGTTAGGAATAACATCTTTAGGGCATGCTCTTTTGGGATATATTCTGCTGGAATAGCTTTTTGTATGATACTCCACTGTTGGACGAAGCTCTATGCAGGGAAGGAAACAAGCCGAAAAGGAGGTCTACAATGACGAATTCGCTCTTCTCTTTTCTTCATTTCTTTTTCTTTTCCTTTTTTTATATGGCGGCATTGCTCCAAAGTGTATGTGAAGTATGTAAGTCTCTTCACGATTAGACTAGACCAAGTTGTCTCCATCCTTGCCGCACATCCGTGCAGAGCTTACTAAGAGAGCTTCATTTAGGCGGCCATCTTCGTGTCCTATGCCGAATCCAGTCTCTGTTGTCAATTGTGGGGAAACCAAGCTCATGTTTCCCTCATCGATACCTTCCCATGCAGTATATCCAGGGTAAGGCAACAAAGTCGTCTGGGGAACGCCATGGTGCCATGCTTTCGGGATGTCGCCCAGATCGGCGTATTTGACCCTATCATATATGCTTCCTGTCGAATCTGCTACGGTGTCATAGTAATTTCGTAAGAAGACTTCTCCAACCGATGATCGCACGAAACAGATGCGTCTCAATTGGGACATGCGGCGGAAGGTCTGCCTGGCTAGTTCGGCGCGATTCTCGTTCAGCTGGTGCTGGTGTGCCTGGTCGGCGATGTAGGAGAGGCGGCGGCTGGGCTGTGCTACGGGGAGCGCTTCCGGCCATGACGACGCCTGTACAACATATGCGTGGGATCGGCGGCGCTCTTCTGGTACTTGCTCATCGGTGACGTCAATGTACTTGAGTGTCGAACTGTGGAGGTTGTTCAACACAACCGAAACCGGGAAGCCACCACCCAACTCTCCGATAACAGAAAGATGCTCAAGATGTGGCAGGTGGTCAATGAGCCAGCTGAGTCTCAAAGCTTCCGATTTCTTCCACGCCAGTGAGCAAAAGCCCAAGCGAGCGTCCGATGAAGTTCTGACAATTCTCAGTTGCCTCAAAGTCGACGCGCTAGGTGGACGCAACTCGCCTCGTTCGAATGAATCACGAAGTAGATCAGTACCTCCTCTGTATCCATCGAGACTGAAGACCTCGAGCTTAGGAAAAGCCTGAAGCCAATCAAGGTTACTGATTGATAGCCCAAATGAGCCACTGCAGACCTCCCAGTTGTCCACTGAAACGGCGAGTGATGTGATGTTCAGCTCTCTTCCCGCCAATGACCAATGCACAGCTGCCTCCAATCCTTCTAGACACCTACAACCTGGCTCGCCGTCCAGATACATGTGTAAGTCTTTGACATATGGCATCTTTCCAAGAGTTTCAAAGAATCTGACCAGGACTAGATAGTGATATGGTTCCGCAAGCTTGTTAATGTCTGCGGTTAAACGTCTGTGGCGATTCAGACGAGGCACAACGGCTCGAACGTGACACCACAGCCCCGGAACAGCATTGAATTCTCTGATAGATTGAAGGATCTCGTCACCTCGAGAGCTCGGGGCGTCTTGGAAGCAAACTCGGTCGAACAGTCTGGCTGCTGTCACGTTTCCGAGGAACTTATTCAAGACGGACAGATTGTGCAGAGTTATTCGGCCATTCGCAGCAGATTCGGCACAGAAGTCGACGATTCTTCGAAGCAACTCGGAAGGTAAATTCTCGAGAAGGATTGTCTGACTATGTTGAGGGCTCGCATCCATTTTCTTCTTGGGAGGGGTGTTGGCGTTCAGCTCGGCGGGAATCTCTCCAGAAGCACTGTGTGATTATGTCGAGGGCTGGCAACCCTTTTTTGTGGGGGGATGGGGGGGTCTTCAGGTTGGCTGATTGACTGTCCGAATAGTAAGATGGCGATGTACCCAGCTTGTTTGTGATGCGATTTCGCGGTGGGGTTTTGGAGAGACACCAAAGTCCATCGAATGTTTGTTTTCACACAGCGCATTTATAAATTGGTCTCATTGCCAGTTGCCTAAGATCACAATGATTCTTAGGGCTTGGAGGCGACCATTGCGAGCTCAAGGCCTTTAAGGCCTCTGCACACAGCTGACAAGGAGCTGTCTCAAGCTTGAAAGGCCAGCAGAAAAGGATTGGGACAAGCAAGACATACCTCTTGATCTGCGGGCAGACGAAGCATCGGTCTAAAGCACCTAGAGAACTTGAAACACGCTTTTTGTTTTTACTTCCTCTAGCTGAAATGGAGCATGTGCAGAAACACAACGGGTTATATTGTTTCCCCAACATCTCCGTATAATTCTGGCACCACACAAGGTACTTCACTAGGTGATATGTCTTGTAAGGCGGTGAAAGATCAAGTGGAGTAGTAGGCGATTGCACATGGTGGCGGGGCAGCGAAGTGGTCATATGTGAGCAGTATGTCGTTGGAACAAATAACCAGTCTGCTGTTGAGGACCTGCTCGCCTCTTATTTTCCCGAACTACTAGACAAGGAGGTGGGGAAAGAGATTCTGAACGTTTTGAGAGTATCAGATGGCCGAGTAGAGCCAAGGAAACTTCAAATAACAATGATGCTGACAAAGTTTGAGTGGGCAGAGTTGACTAGCGATCAGGGGGTTGAAGCAAAGCAGGGTACCGTCCGCTGGTCAAGAAATGGAGACACCGTTGAGATAAAGATAAGTGACATGGATCGACTCGGCAAATGGTATATACATGTGTAAGTAATAGAAGATGATGTGCGGATTGAGGGACCCCCACCAAAAAAAACAAGAAAAGAAAAGAAAAAAAAGAAAGAAAAAAGAAGAGCCGCGGCACAATGACCGACACCTCGAGGCACAACATCCATCACTCCTACTTACCAACACGGTGCTTTGTGCTGATCCCACCGAGGTCTTCTTTCTAATTCCTGGCAAGTCTATCTGGAGCAGGCAGTGGAGGTCTTCCGGAAACCGTCATTTGCCTCCCTCCAAGGGGGTCCAGGACCCAACGCCCTGCAAGTCTTGAGGTAGTGTCGAAGCTTTGTTGACGATGATCTTGTCAGGTAGGGCTACCAGACGGTTGCCGTTTTGCCACGGCTCGGCAATGTAAGCATCGAGACGTTGCTGCTGGAGGTAGGAGGGCTGCTCGACAATTCGGTTCGTGGAGGATTGGTTGCCAGAAGATGATCTTGAATGCAACCGCGTTGGTCAGTGAAATCCATTGCTCTTGCAAGTAGAAAAGGTGGGTCAGAGCGCAGCCTTACCCACTAACGGATTGAGTAGATTTTGAGCTCATGGCTACATATAGAAAGGACGGGCAGGTCAGGGAGCGAAATGCCGATCACCAGCCTTAATGCGGAGGGCGAAGCCGGAGGTCGGAGGTCGCAGCCGGAGGCCGGAGGGTGCAGTCGCCGTGTAAAGTCGGTGACCGGGCGGAGACTCACCCAGTGGTAGAGCCGTAAGGGACTAATATGTTCACAAATTTCTTGGTACGATGTACAGCTCCTCCACGGATATAGGCGACAAGCTTCGATAGGGACGTTTCAAGTGCAACAAAAATTGAGTTCTGGGAGAAGTTCTTGACCATAAGAATTGAGTAGGTGATATTCATGCGTTTTCAATTTTGATTATTTTTCACGGAACCAGGCTCTCCTAAATATTCTTGCCCTTCCCAGAACAAGAGGGCAGTCGAGAAAGAGCCGGTGGGGAGCATGGTCCGCGCATTCAATGCCCATGCAACGAGCAACTCGTCGCAGTGAACAGCAGGGAATAGTTGCGGAGTATCTTGAGACGTTGGTAAGATGGCTCGATATGCCATGAAAAGCATGATTGGACAGATACCGGAAAATTCCTCCACTGCCTACGCGAACCAAAGCCTCGTGTGATCACTATTACCAGCCCCACCCCCCTGAACGACTGCCTTCCACAGGCCGAAGATATGCGTGTCTGAGCTGCCGATAGCTCTCGATAGCCTCTGCAATGATGCAGTGCGGATGGCTACTGGAATGGTCGATTGCTGTGCCTGGATGTCAACGGCGACACGAATGTCTTATGCCTGCCACTGAATAATGTACAAGTAGGGCGAATGATCTGGTGATATGATGTCAAAGACCCATCTCATGTTGCTAGAGCGAATTCTCGCTGTTTGCATTTCAATTCAATCTCTTTGAAGATGGTATAACCTTCCAAGCAACAAAAGACATCCTGGAGAATCTTCGTCCTAAACCAACCAGCGACTCTTGAGGTTCACGGAACGATGTTTCTTTGAAGGGAAGGATCCGCCAGTGATACAATGGTGCAGACCTTCGAAACGAAGACTGACATTCGCAGACTTCACATCCTGCCTTCAACATTTGTCTGTCCGGACTTGAACAGATTCTCGTGCTCCACAGTGTCTCATGGGGACTCAACACTTTGTCCCTGGCCTTGAAAAGGCTTGCGTCGAAAAGTTCCGTGATAGTAGTCGTCCACATAGAAACCCAATAAATTTGAAGATTTCTTGATTGCAACAAGGAACACTTGAATCCTACTATTGCGGATTCATTCATGAGCAGATCAAAACATCCAATCATCACCCAGACCCTGACACAAACAACAGCCATCTGCAGGCCGCTGATACCAGACCCGGGGGAGGTAATGATATGTTGATTATGGGTATGCCAAGGGGTCAAAAGCGGGGCAAAAGAGAGGCCACGAGGCTCGCAAGATCAGAGGCCTCAGGAAAAGTGAGGCGAACGAAGGGGGGAACTGTCGCCCGACTTGTATGGAAATGGTGGTCTGAATATGCAGGCGTCGTCACGGCTTGTGCCTCACTCGAGACGCGGCCTATGGGGACTGCAGTATAAACGCCGGCCGCTGGTCAGACCTCGGTGAAATGGGCTTGGCTTCAAGGCAACCAGGCGGCGACCCATTCGTAGAGAGCTCGCTGCTGTCTCAAGGCAGACATGCGATAGCTTCGCTGCCCCCTCTCTGCCTGGTCGTGGAACCGCCTTGTTTGCTCTGCGTCTTCGGAGAATGGACTTCTCGGAGGAGTTGCCGTCGTGATGAACAGTCCGGTGACCGGAGCCGATGACAAAGTCTGTCGGAGATTCTGTATTTCCACAACCCGGGCCATAGTCGTAATGAAGCTGACTGACAAAGATTGGGGGCCAAGCTGCGTCGGGGTGATGCTGTCTCCGTGCCATGTCGATGCGGCAGCTCTACAATTATTAATGATTTGGATTAATGCTATCCCAATAAGGGTGGTGAAGACGACCACGTAGAAAGTTTGGAATAGATCATTGAAAAGAGATAGGATGGATAAACGAGGAAGCATCTGAACCCTTCCCTCACAAGAATGTGTGAATAGGAGTAGAGTTTGCCTCGAAGCGAAAGAAGAGAAAGAAGAGGTGAAGGAGACAAACAAGCTTGGACTTACAGAAGCTGGAGCTGCTGGTAAGAAGACACGAAGATTGCGACGGACCAAGGACCAAAATTCAACGACGGCGATATCCCATCTTTATAGGATGCTCGATGCGGTTTCTAGGCGAACAAGCGGGATCCGGTGTCGCCAGGGAGAAGAGGGATAGCTGCAGATTTATCATCTTCTGGGGCGACGGCCCTCGTAATTTTGAGACATCAGAGAGTGAACTCTGAATGTGTAAAGGACAGGGACGGAACGGGAGAACGACGTTCTTCAACGTCGCGGGAAGGGAAGGGTGGCTATTTAACGCGTTACCAACCGTCTGGCATCCGGTGGCTGCCTTATCCTGTCACGGAATTCAGCAGCAAGGCCAATCTGCTTGTGAATTTTCCATCCCGCCTCTGGGTCCCTTAGCTGTTAAGGGACCCAGAGGCGGGATGGAAAATCATGCGCAGCGAGGCATTTGCGTAGGAGAAATGCTTGGCTGCAGTCTCCTCGACCTCTGAGTGGAGGACCTTTCTCGGCAGGTCCTCGCACGCGTGACGGTTCCCACCGACGACCCCAGGCGGGCGTTGCTTGTCGTTGTTTTCTCATTGTCAGATGCCTCAACCATACCTAAGTTCTACCGCAGGACCGAACAAGCCTCCAATCATACGCAATAGACGACGACGTGGTGATCGTGACACCGCCTGAGGGTGGTGTGGAGATGCACACGATCTGTGGTTTTGACTGGCCCAGGCTGCAGTAGTGGCCCAATTTCAGGCCCAAAACGATTTGGCAACTCCGCACCCACCCCTACCGAACAGCCCTGTAGGTGGAAGATGCGCCAAGGTGTGGGTGGGGGATCGCAAGCAAAGGCAACTTCTGCTTACTCAACGCAGAGCCTCAAGTTTCGGGGTCTCAGCACGAACCCACCTGCAGACCGAATTGTGTTTTCTCGTCTTCATCTTATTTATATAGTAGCTTGTCTCCCCCTCAAACCTCGTCTGGCCTCGAATTTGGTCTTTACCGTACTATCACGGATTTCGCAACTTCAAAGATTTCATGGGCAAATTCTTGCCTGTTATCTTGAATATGTTCTGACACCATTGAAGCACCGAGGCGGACCAGGATCCGTGGTAACAGCAGGCCCCGTGGTAAGCCCCACTTCACAGACAGCTACCAAGGGAAAGGGTCGCGCCTCGGGGGTCTTACTGTAGTGCCAATTTAATATAGCTCTTTCTTTTTGTTTGTTGCATCAACGCCTAAGTGACTCTACTATCACATACCAGGCATGCTGCCTGACCTTACTCTTGTCCTCCCCAAGGCTTGTACTGAAATCCTTCCACAAAAGCATAGGGTGGATGTAAGAGTACCTCGACGTCTCATCCTTCTCACTAATGCTCTCCAGCACCCTCTCCATCCCGCGAAGCTCGCGCAGCTCGCCAAGATCGATCTTAGTCTCGGCGTCCTCCCTCTCCTTCCTGCACATGTGCTGCCGAGTAAAACCGAGTATCAAAGCAGCCATCGCTGCAACGGCTGGCGCAGCAAATGAGGTACCCTTAGCCAGTCTGAACCCGCCACCCTTTGCCTCTGGCCACTGCGTAATGACTTGCTCGCCAACAAACATGAAGTTGTGCGATCCGTGGACATACCTCGGTGTGAATCCTGACGACCTTTTCCCCCATTCATCGCAAGAATGCACTCCAATTGTGAGGTACGGATCTCTCGCTGGCCAGCACGGGTCTCGGCTGTTATTGCCGTGGTTGGACATGGCGGAGAAGACGAGGACCTTTGAGTCGCGCACTGCACGGTTGAGGGCTGCCTTCACCTCTTTCTGACTTTCCTCAAAGCCGAAAGACATGTTGATAATGTCTACTTTCTGGCTTACAGCCCAGTCGATGGCCTTTGCGACGATGTCCGGTCGCGGTTTCTTGACGGGATTTTCTGTCGCCGGCAACTGAGTTGCCGCACCGCGATTGATATCCCCTTCACATATGCGAGCTATGTAAAGCTCCGATCTTGGAGCCAGTCGGAGTATAAGTTCTGCTACCTGAGTGCCATGCCCGTCGAGGTCGACCATTTCGTCTTTGCCTGCAATGTGACCGGAAATTGTGAAGTCTTCACAAGCCTTGATTCTTTCGTACTGAGTCGGCTCTGGATGAGTTGCCCATGACGGTTTGCCATTGATGAATTTAGTCAACCTAGGTTTTCTGAAATTCTGGTGTTTGACGTCCAATCCAGTATCCAGGACTGCAACTTTCACAGGTTGATCATATTTCTTCTTGAAGTCAAACTTGTCCCACGTACCGAGTAGCCATTCATACGTCTCCGAGTGCGATATCTCTGAGCTGGAACGACGTCAGTAGCTGGCATGCCTCTGATCTTGTTACAATGCTTGCTTACCTTGTAGCTGGGACCGAAAATAAAGCCCCATCGAATGAGCCGCCATCGGTGGGAAGCGGTGCAGTTTCTGGCACTGCTGAGGGTTCAGTTCCGGCTGATGCGTCTTCTGATTCCGATGAATCAGCAATATCGGCAGTTTGGGTCCCTTCTGAAGGTCCCCCTCCATCTTGTCTGAGGTCGCCAGTTTCTTGCGTAGACTTCTCTCCAGCTCCTTGAATACTGGCATGAGAAGATCTGCGCAAGATATCTAACGTCTTCGGGTGTTGTCCGAGCTCGGCAAGCTGAATTGCTGTGGTTCCATGCCGGGTTTCAGCAAGTACATTTGCCCCATAGTCTAGCAAGACTTTGACCGTCCTCTGTCGCCCTTTCTCTGCTGCTAGATGCAGTGGAGTGAACTTCTGCGATAGAGTTGGGGCGTCGACGGCGGCTCCTTTACTCAAAAGAATTTCGGTAACTTTGCTTTGACCTGCCCGAGCCGCATGATGAATGGGCTTCCAACCTCTTTCCAGGCTCTGTGACTCGATAATGGAAGGGTTCTCTTCAAGAAAGAGGTCCAGAATACCTTCCACAAGCGGTAAATGCCCCTTCATCGAGGCCCAGGCTAGCATGTTGATCACGTCTATCTGCCCTCCCAATGTGATGAACTTGGACAGCTCCGGTAATATTTTGCGCGTCTGTCTCCCAGGCTTTGCCCATTTACTCAATACGTGTTCCATTCTTTTGGCAAGACTCGCATCTAATCCTTCCGTGTAGTAGAATGCGTTCTTGCCATCGGGGTTCTCGAATGCTGGGTCCGCCCCAAATGCACACAGAGTCTGCACGTTCGAGTATCTGCCTTCTGACACTGCACTTTGCAACACAGTGAGCCCGTTCTTATCCAGAGAATCCAGTTCCGCACCCATAAATAACAGGAGCAGAATTGCAGTTCGCATATTCTTCTTTGCCCTCAGGGCTGCCAGGTGCAATAGCGTGTATCCAGCTTTCGTGACCACTTGCAAGTTCGCCTTTGACCGCATCAAAGTCATCATAACATCAGGATGATTACTGTCGGTGGCGAAAGTCAGAGGAGTATATTTCCAGCCGGATAGTGCATCAACGTCTGCGCCCTTCGAGATGAGCACCTTGACAATGTCGTTTCGGCCCGTTATCGCCGCAACATGCAGAGGCGTCCGGCCCCGTTCGTTCTTCGCGTCGACACAATCCGGCGAGGCTCGAAGGATGCGTGTCACTCCATCCAGATCCTCGTGGTCAACAGCCTCGTGTAGGACCTGCCCGGGTGTCTTGACCCTGTACGCAATTGCAGGTGACGGCTTCTCGGCTGGAGTGGCTTGCCCATCTTCCGGCACCAGAGGGCTCGGAGACCGTGAGTGCCCGACTGGAGAACGTCTCCCAACATCGTGCCGATCGGGACTGAGCATATCGTTTCCGTGCAAAGGCTTCATATCGGTTGTGGTGGGTACTGAACAGAACTGTGGAAATTTGCAACTAAGGTGAGAATCGCCAGCCTCACTTTGAAGGGAAATGGGTTCAGTGTTGTCTGCTTATGGGCTGTGCCATTTGCCGACACAAATGAACGCCATAAATGCTACGCCACTAATGCAGGCTGACCGATGAGCGTGAACACACCCAGGAAAAGCCTCGGCCCCTTGACAATAGTTCAGCTCCTATTTTCAGCTGGTGCCTAACGGACAAGCTCACAATTTTCTGTTGATTCAATCAATTTTTCTGTTCGAGACGTGCAGCTGTCGCTGGGCAGCGATCACATCCACCACGCCGAACATGACAACCTCCTCAGGCCGCCTAAAGGGAGACAAGCTCTGGCATGTCTACCGCTATCCACAGAGACCAAATACACTCATGGTCCTGGGGAGCATACTTACGAAGCCAGATGACCTAGAGTCGTCGCTGAACTATGGCGACGGGATCGAGCCTTTCCCCTCTCGGTCAGTCGAAGACCAGACAGGAGCGGTTCGCCTGTTTATGCGATCAGAGATATCGACCAAGAATGGTGGAAGACTCAAGGCTCTTCTGCCATTCTCGCCAATTGCCAGCGCCGGTGGCGGGCTGGGTGCGACCTCATCAACAAGCTTGGATGCCAGCATCGAGGCTTCCGGCGTCCGAGCAGTGGCTGTCTTACCGCCGGCTGCCCATGATTACTTAGAACGAGCGCTACAGAACCCCAGGATCGTCGACTACGTGAGAAAGGGCATCTTCGCAGAGCCTCTGTATATGATTGTGGGTGTTGCAACGTGCAAGTCATTGTCTATGGGCGACGCTTCGAGCAAGAGCAGATCGGCATCTATCGACCTTGATGCCAGTCTGACTATTGGGGGCGTCGAAGCCGGGGTCGGTGTTTCGAGAGACAAAGGAACTTCGGAAGATTCGGAGCGGGAAGTTCTGGAAGAATGTGATTTTGCATATCGAGTGAGAGAGTTTCAATACTCTCGTCGGAAGAAACGGATCAAGAAGTCGGCCAACGTGACCGACGGCGCAATGTTCGGAACCGATGCTTCAGGGGAAGAGGGTCCATTCGAAGAGGTGCCTATTTTCGAATACTTTGAGAGTGAGGATGAAGACGTTGAGTGATACGAGACAAGAAGTTTGAAAACGGTGACGATTGCCGCTGACTGTTTTGAGGCATGTCTTTTCTAGGAATCAGTTGAAGGGTTCCCATCGGTCCTCAACATGAAAAGAAAATACTGGGATTAAGCTCTTCTTTTTTTATAAAAAGAAATCTCAATCGGCTTGCAAGTTCGCACAATGTTCAACTCCTAGTGACAAGCGCAAACAGGGGCGACAACGTCCTAGAGGAGACCAATATCCCTCAGCTGGAGCCATCAAACGATATTTGCCTTCCGAAGAGAGAACCTCTGCTCACATAGGTAACAAGGGCAAGTCATATCAGAACAGCGGAAGCCCTCGAAGGCGTTACCACCACGATGTCAACGCCATGGTCTATTTCCTCTTTGTCATTGCACAACATCCCTCACCTCCGTGGATCTCCGCAAAGTAGCTTTACTTTGGAGCTTTTTCGAATTTGTTTGAATTGCCTCCTCATCTCAGCATTGCCCCTGGAAAAGACATAATTATTCCATCCCTGAGAGATGTGCACCCCGCTCAAGCTCGATTGGCCCATCGATTCTGGCTCAATCAAGGCAATGGGAGGATCTGAACGACCAATCCAGAGTTCTCCCTTGAACTCATCGACACCTTCGCACCACCTACACCAATATTCTTAGGGATGACTTTGCAGCCGTCCTAATGGCTTGGCTCGAATACAACGGCCTCGGTTGAATCAACTGATGTGGTGCGCGATTGATGATGCCGATCTTGCGTGCGGGGTCGGTCGTCTCCATGGCCATGCGCAGCACTAATTAAGGGAAAGAGCAAGTACTCACCCTCGACGTCGGATACATCATCACCTAAAGAAAATCAAAATTACCAAGATATTCTGTTGCCATAAATTATCACATAGTCATGTCTCACCGTCTGGAAGGAAAGGTAGCTATCGTCACCGGAGGCGCATCCGGATTCGGCAAGGGCATCGCCACAAAGTTCATCCAAGAGGGCGGCAAGGTCATCATCGCCGACCTCTCCGCAGAGGCCGGAGAAGCGGTGGCCAACGAGCTTGGCTCCTCAGCTTCTTTCCAGAGAGCCGATGTAACCAAGAGGGAGGAGTGGGAGCAGTTGCTCAAGACGGCGACTGACAAGTTCGGCGGCCTGGATGTCGTTGTGAACAACGCTGGCACCACATACCCGAACAAGCCCACGGAGCAGGTGACAGACAAGGACTTTGACGCTTGCTTCACCGTCAACGTCAAGTCCATCTACCTTTCCACGAACGTCTTATTGCCCTATTTCCTAGAGAGCGGGCGCCCTGGGTCCTTCATCTCCCTGGCATCAACAGCGGGAGTGAGACCACGACCGGGCCTGGCGTGGTACAACGCGTCCAAGGCAGCAGTCATCAACGCTACGAAGTCGATGGCTGTCGAATATGGACCGAAGCAGATCAGATTCAACTCCATCTCTCCGGTCTTCGGCAGTGGCACGGGCTTGTAAGCGCATTCACCTCCCCCAACCCAACCCAATCCAATACCAAAGAATCAAACACATGGCTTACTTTGAGGTCCGGTCTATAGGTCATCATCTTTCCTAGGAAAGCCAGATACAGAGGAAAACCGCGCATCGTTTGTTGCTACTATACCCCTGGGACGCGGGTCAACGCCTGGTGACGTGGCGAATGCTTGCTGTTACCTTGCAAGCGACGAAGCAAGCTTCATAACTGGTGTCAACCTGGAGGTAAGGACATGCTCCGACACTGACAACTTCGAACGTATACTCACACTCGCTGTACCAGGTGGACGGTGGCAGATGTGTCTAGGCAGTCTTGGAGGGGCCTATTGATACTTATTTGGCTGGTCTGGTAAACACAGTTGGACTCCTCACAAATGTGCTTACTTGGCTATGGATTGCCTACGGTGCGTAACTACAGAAAGCATGGGAGATAATTCAGTTTGCAAGGTGAATCTCGAGATATCTGCCCAAGCAATAAATACATTGACATACGGGCGGAGGTCTCAAGCATGGTGAATGGGCTGGCGTGCGTAAGTATAATCAGAATCAAAGTCATGCTGGGTCAACAGGGATGGGTAAAGGCAAATGTACTTTCAGCTCACTAGGCACAAAATGTTCGTTGCATACCCCTGGTGGCATTTGAGTATCCTCGGATCAATAATCCCTCTGTGGGCTAGATTGGAACCTGGCACAGAGGAATCCAATCAAGTGTCACTCTTGTAGACTTCCATGATTCCGGATGGTTAATAGCCAATGTGGCCGTGTCCTCTTCGAACTGGGTTGGCGGCCCAGAACACCCAGGATGTTCTGTTTATGTTTTACAAGGGGCAACTGCTGGAGGTGTGACAAGTAGTCCACCATGTCAGCAAACATGTCGCACTTGGTGGTGTGGTGGGTGGTACAGGATGGCCTGCTTGCAGCTGCTACCCCGTTTTTACTTTGGGTTAGCTTGCTGATTGGTCGGTGAACGTAAAATTCGCAATTGTCGGGCACCCAAGTTGCTAATTGCTCCACCACACCTTTTCGAGCCGCATGAGAGACTCCAATCCTGAGCCGCATGCATCTGGGGGGCTACCCGGCCACCACCGACCGATGCGCATTCCGAAGTCTCATTTCGACCCCCCCCTCCCCACTCGTACAACATCATGGCACTGCCTCCGTGCCCAAAAATCTACAAGGCAACACCGGTTTATCGTCGCACAATCAGGGCCACTCCTCAAGGAATCATTTCTTTCTCGGTGATTCATCGGTAGCTCAGTGTGACACCGTCACCGCCTGGTCCATAGTCCATTCATGTTTCCGACCAGCACCCTTTCGTTCGCTTCCTCATTACTTTACATATTCCATGGCTGTCCCCGACTTGCGTTCACTCGCTTCTTTCCTCATGACTTTTCCTCTTCAACCTCTCCTCATCGTCAAACGCGTGGTAGCCTTTCAATATGGATCCAATCCAAAGCTATCGTCATTCTGATTCCGCCCTTAACATGAGCACCTCCGCATGAGCACCTTTCTTCTCGTCGCAATCACTGTCGCAGGCCGTGAGCAAGCACTGGAAGTACAGTAAGTACGCACCTCTTATTCTTTACTGTCTGTGATCTTTGGAACCATGGCTCCGAACTCTTTCCAAGTGGTTTTGAAACCACCGTCCTTTTTCCATTTCCTCAGCACTTTTGATTGCTTGTCACCCTTTTCCCCCTCAAGCTCTGCCCTTTCACTTTCAAATACGTCCAGGAGAAGAGATGGTTCTGTGCAAGGTGTCACTTTGGGCCCTTGGACTGGACCTACGACACCGCTCCTGATCCCTTTCCCCCGTCACAACCATGAGTATTGCTTATGGATTCCACTGGGACTTGGCATCAACTTCCAGTGCTCGCAAACACTGGAGCACAATATTTACAGGAGCAAAATTGCTCTGCGACCACCACTTTGGCATTTGGGACTCGCTGTCTCGGCCCGACATACCCTGCTTTGATCAATGAAACCCGGAGATCGGAATGAGATCGGAATTGCAAGATCTCCGATAACTTTGTCATCAACCGCTGAACCTCACTACGCACATCGGACTCTTTTCTCCCGAATAACTCTGAACAGCGTCCACACCAGGCTACAACGCACACGGGATCAGATGATTCTTGTTGACGTGTCATTGCATCGCAGTTCTGCCTGGCATCCATATGGTCGCCTTGCCGCCTTGTTTGCCTTGCGCCAAGTCATCTTCGCCAAGCCGTCTTGCCCGAGGTCTCTCCGACGGCCGCGTCTGCAGCCTGACGCTCATAGGCTCCGTCTCAAGCGAGGCGCTGTCAGACACAACAGCCTGCCTATCTCGAACCTAGCACCATACAAGTCGGGCGAAAGTGGCTATTCTTGTCCGCTCCACTTTCCTCTTCATTGTTTCACTGCAGGCCATCTTACGATGCACTTATTTTCATACATCGACCCCTCAAGGTGTCCTCCTGTCTCCGTTTCGGCGCCCTGGGTCTCATCCCAGCGAGCTTTGTGCAGCCCGGTTTGAAGGGGCAATACAAGGAGTACGAAGTCTACGATATTCCTGTCAATCAGGAATAATGACAAGGTGTCTGAGAGAGAAAGCCGTCTTCGTCATGTCTCAGAAGGAGTCTTCTTCGCAGATATGTCATTTTCATTCGTATGCCTCTTCAGATGTTGTTGATGGACCCTCATCTCGTACAAGTAGTCCGAGGTTGACAGATGTCGTATGCGGTACCTTGTTTGTGCTCTGCAAGTATACGATGCTGGGTATAGAATGCTTGTTCGGGACACTGTCCGGAGCAGCTCTGAAGTTGTAATTTGGTCGCTGAAGTTGCATCTCTCCAATCACCAAATGTTAGAAGAGATTAGTCTTGCTGGACACACTGGCATTCTACAGATCATCAGTGATAGGCATCTGAGAATGTCATTGAAAACACTATTCCCCATACTGCGTCATCACCGTGTACGGCATCATTGATAGGTGCCTCCTCCGGATAAGACAAAACGCGACACCTACAACTCGAAGCACGCTACGGGGACCTCGACCTTGTGATGGATATGGTGCATGGGGGTCGTTGCATTGTTTCGATCCACAATTCAATGGTCGTGGACGGCCCCGGGTTCAATGGGGGTGGGGCTAGTGAGACGTGCTGTACAAGGCTTTGGTACTTTGGTCAGCGCGGGGCCTTATCACGGAGCACTCGAATCTAGGCAAACTGGACGTTAACCCAGTCGCATTGCGCCTAGAAGGATCGCACACGGACCCGACGCTTGAAATACCCTCAAGACGGCCAAAGCTATCGAACCATGGAAAGAAAATGCGGCCCATGAGTTGGTTCTCGGGGTTCGCGAAGGACAAGGAAGGGTTAGCTCGCGCGCGACTCCGTCCGAATTATGTAGACTTACTTTGATAGCAGGCTTTCTGTGCTTCATTATTTATTGAACATGATCTAGGATTTGGATGCCACGGATGCTCACTCTGCGGCTGTTCCATCCATTTCTCAGAGTTTTGACGGCTCTTGATGCGGTCTTATCCTACTCTTACGCCGTAGTGTTCTCTAAAATCCGAAGCCGAACCTGCGAATCTCGTCTCAAATGTTCCTTGCTGTCAACCATCTCAAGGAAGAAGCTCCTATTCTGGCTTCGCCTTTTCCTCAAGTCACCCAGTGGTCCTCCGTCTCACCCGTTCTCTACGCTTTGGACGAGCCAGTCGGCTGAATACACATCGACTTGCCCTCTTTGATCCACGTCTGCAAGCCCCAACAACGATCATGAGCTCAAGATCTACAGAGTCCGTCGACGGGTAAAGCTACACCAAAATGCATCCTTTCCCCGCAAGAGCAATGACTTTTACTAATCAACTCCACCGTAATTCTAGATCCTCTTACGGCAGTCAAGCCTTCACGAGCCGAAATGCCGACAAGCAGACCTATCTTCAACAACAGACCTACCTTCAACAACAGCGGCTCAACGAGTTCGTTGCTGAGCCTTGGCATAAAGGCAATCGTCTAGTCCCCCTGCCTTATAAAACCGTCGTTACGGAAGCGCCGAGTCTGCCACAGGGTCCGTTGAGGCTGTCACACAGTCCGTCACTCGCTGGGCAGCCTCAAGATCTAAGAGGCGTAGGGTCTTGGACAACATCGCAGGGAGGTCAATGATGGTTCTCAAGATAATTTTCATCTCTTCCAAATTGCTTTTCAGAAAGTGGAAAGAAGATCTTCTTCCTGAGAGTTATTTTGAGGTATTAATAATGTCTGCATTGATAAAAGGATGGATAGTTATACACTATTCTATTCATTTATTATACAAATATTGCTGTCACGAAGCGCACGATCGAGCTTCACTTTGCGGGTTAGACATGCTTTGAGACATGTAGAAACATGGACGGGATGACTGTTGTAATGAAGAGATGCTGCTCTCATACACATGCACCCGAGCGCGAGTAGGGATATGGGCCGGAGAAGCAAGGGTTAGGTGAAGCTGTGTGGCGTTAGGCTAGATTCAGCAGGCACACGTGCGGATTTGACAGGCCGGGAATTGCTGTCAGCTACCGTTACTGCGGCGGTAAACAAAAAGAAATGGGAGAGGAAACATGCAAATAGACGAGCGTCTATTGCGCTTGACATCTTGGTTGCCGTCCGGAAACGCACGCCACCGGGACGGGAGATGGCGAACGTGGGGAAGCAGCATGAAGCTTGTCACGGGACGGAGATAAGAAAACGGGGCCCGCACCGTTTATCTTCTTCCTTGCGCGGTTTCGGATTTGGATGACGACTTGGCCCGCCCGCGCCGTGGATTTCTAAGCGTCACTAACTCAACCACAAAGTTTGGATGGAAGAGGGCTCAACTAGAACACCTAAACAGCATGCTCTGATAGATAGATTGATCCTTTAGCAAATCATTCCTAGTATCGCTGGGCGGGCTCATCTTACCCAGTCCATTTTTAGCCATGTCTTCAGCAGCCGCCCCGGCAAATGGTGCCCAGACACCGCCAAAGTCACCCACGCAAAAGTCGCCGGCACGATCTCCGACCCGGCCTGCTCCAAATGCCGACACAGAGGAGACGCCCTTGCTCGCCGCGGCGCGCGAGGAGGGACGAGATGAGCACGAGGAGGCTGCATTGCTCGAGCCGTCTCAGGACAAGTCCAAACGCACCAAGAGCTGGTGGTTCTGGCGGATACTGTGGACTGTCCTCGCTGCACTGGTGCTTGCCGTCTTCATCAAGGGTTGGATAGATGCCAAGGATGTAGATGTGAGCCACCGCAAGTTCGAAAGCCTGAGGTGGTGATGTTTGACTGACCGCTTCTGCAGTTCGATCTCAAAGGAGCACTTAAGCGGGCCCTCGGAGGCGGGTTGAGTGGTGCTGCAGCAATGGTACTCCAGGTCATACTGCTGATGGTATGTTTGCCTGCCTGAATCTTTTTTTTTCCTTTTTGTATTTCTACACGGAGCATGAAGGACTGACCCGTCATAGTGGATTCGAACCATCATGAACTACCAGTATCGTCATGGTTCCTCTCTCACCACAGCGACCAAGACGCTATATGCTGAAGGCGGCATCCCTCGTTTCTACCAGGGTGCCGGATGGGCTCTCATCCAGGGTCCAGTCTCCAGATTCGGGGACACAGCGGCCAACGCCGGCATCCTAGCTCTGCTTCAGTCAAATGGATACTTGAGCCAGCTGCCCAGCCTCATCCAAACCATCTTTGCGTCTTTCTGGTGAGGCTCTCCCTGTCCATGCCTTGCTTTATAGACAAGGGCAGATCAACTGACTCACCACCACCCACACAGCGCTGCTGCATTCCGCATGATCTTGACTCCTATCGACACCTTCAAGACTACGATGCAGGCCCAGGGTTCTCGAGGCACTGCCTTGCTCCGGAAGCGTGTCAAGGAGAACGGCGTAGGGAGCTTGTGGTGGGGTGCTTTCGCAACGGCTGCTGCCACATTTGTGGGCCACTACCCCTGGTTCGCAACGGTGAGTTCATGATGGCATTCATGTGATCAGGTCAAGGCCCTAGAGCTAACTTTGAATGATGGTAGTACAACTTCCTGTCGGAAAACATCGAAGAGCCTCCCAAGCACCCTCTTATCGTGTGGCTGGCCCGCCTGGCTTTCATCGGCTTCTGCGCCTCGGTTATTTCTGACTCAGTGTCCAACTCTCTTAGAGTCATCAAGACCTACCGCCAGGTCAACGACACCCAAGTCTCCTATAGTGAGTTCATGATTGTCACTCCGGGCTTATGAACAAAGCTGACAGGCCGATTTCAGCCGAGGCCGCTCGGCTAGTCATTCTTCAGGACGGCATCTTGGGTCTGTTCGGCCGCGGCCTAAAGACACGCATCATCGCGAATGGTCTCCAGGGCATTCTGTTCTCCATCCTCTGGAAGCTCTTCCTGGACCTGTGAGTTCCCCAAAGTTGTTTGCTTACCGGGTGTCGCTAATAAGACTATGTAGGTGGGAGAAATCAACGTCTTGATGCCCGCCCACATCGGCTTAATCCATGTTGAAAAACACGACTACGACGGTCCAATTGAGCCAAAATTGACGTGGAAAAGCCATTTTTGGAAATTTTCAAGGGATCAAAACCCGCTTAAAGATGTAACCAACATTTTGCACTGACTGCGCTTGATATTAAAAACAGGCAACTATAGAGAATAAAATATATATTATAGGAGCCCCGCTCTGCTAGTCTTTTAAGGTACCTAAAAGCATATTAGTAAAGGAGTAATAAAATATTAAAAATAAAAGCTTTTAAAAAAAATAAAAAATATTTAAGCTTTAATTAAAGTATAAATATTATAATTATATATAATAAGTATTAAATTTAAAAAAATGTAAGTTAATTTATTTATAAAGATTATAGTTAAAATAATACTTTTTTAAAATTTTCACTTAAAATTTACTTTTTAATTATATAAACTTAAAGTTTACTTTATACTTTATAATATACTCCTTTTTAAATCTTTACTTAATAAAAAAAAGTAAAAGCTTATAGTTAAAAATTTTTTAATATTAATTTTTAATTAGCTTTAATATATTAATATTTTCTTTTTTATATTTATTTTTTTTTATATTTAATATAATTCTTTTTATATAGCTTTTAATTTAAATTTATTTATTTTAACTTTTTTTTTAATTAAAGTTAATTAACTTTATAATTATAGCTTTTTATTTATAATAGCTAAATTTAATTATAAATATAAATATTAAAACTAATATTTTAATTATATTAATAATAGCTTTTATAAATTTTTAAAAATTTATTTATATTATTTTTATTTTAAATAAGCTTTAATAAATATTTATTTTTTCTAATATATTACTTTTAAATAAATTTTTAAAAATATTAAAATATTTTTTAATTATTTTTTTAATATTTAAAAAATTAAAGCTAATATTTAAAAAAAATCTTTTTTTTACTATTATAATATTACTATTATTTAACTTTATACTACTTTTAATTATAAAGCTTTAATTAATATAATTATTAATAAAAAAAAGCTTTTTATTAATAAAATTATATAATATATTCTTTTATTATAATATTATATAAAAAAGCTAAAATAATATATAAAAAGGGTATAATATTATATAATAAAAGCTAAAAGCTTAAAAATTATTTTTATAAAAGCTTAAATATATATTATTTTTACTTATAGTTTAAAAATATATTTTTAGCTAATTAGTATTATTTAATTTATTAATAAGTATTATATTTATTATAAAAGTTTTTTTTAAAATATAGTAATTAATAGTTTATTATAAGTTTAATTAGTTAAAATAGCTTTTTAATTTAACTTTAAATATAAATATTATAAATTAGTTTTTAATATATATTTTTTTTTATATATTATATTTATTAATACTTTTTATTAGCTTAATAATTTTAAGCTATATTTTAAAACTTTTTTTTTAAAATTTTTTTTAATATTTATTAAATAAAATATAAAAAGTATTATTTAATTATTTAATAGCTTTTTTAATTTTATTAAGCTTTATTTAAATAGTAAATATTTAAATTAAAATTTTAATATTTTGCTTATTTATTTATTTTAACTAATATTTTAAGATATAAAAAGCTTTTTAATTATTAAATATTTAATTATTTATACTTTTATTTTTTTAAAAAAATATTTTTATATAATTAGCTATATACTATTTATATATAAAAGTTTTTTCTTATACTAAAATAAGAGCTTTATAAGTAGTTAATAAAATTATATTAATTTTAAACTTTTTTATTAAATATTTAAAAAAATACTTTTTAATTATAATAAAATTATTTAATATAATAGTTTATAAAAAGTAAATATTTATTATTAAAAGCTATTTTTTATTTTAATTATAAATTATACTAATTTAATAATTATATTTTATTATATTTATTATAATAATAATAAATTAATAGTTATTAATAATTTTTAAAAATTAATATTACTTAAATAGGTTTTATTTAAAATTAATTAGCTTTTTAATTAAATAAATAATATTTTAAAAGTTAAAAAGCTATTATTATAAAAGCGCTTAAATATAAGTAGTTTTTAATATTTTTTTTAAAGCTAATATTCCTTTTATATTATAAAAATTTATAATAAAATAAATTTAATATTATTAAAAAAATAAATTTAATTTTATAAATAATTAAAGCTTAAAATATATAAAAATAAAGGAAAAATATTATTAAAATATTTTATAAATATTTTTACTTTTATTTATTTTATTATAATTAAAAAATAATAGTAAATAAAGTAAAGTACTTATATTTTAAATATTTTTTATTTTAAAGCTATTTATTATAATTTTAGTTTTAAATAAGTTTTTAAATAAATTTATACTTTTTTTTATATAAAATTTTAATAATTTTTAATATTTATAAAGTTAAAAAAGTATATAATATATAAAATATTACTAAAATTTAAAATAAATAAAAGTTTTAAAATTACTTATTATAAATTAGTATAGCTTTTATAAGCTAGCTTAATAGTTAAAAAAGGAGTATTAAAGTTTAAAATAATCTTATATTATAAAAAAAAGCTTTTTTAGCTACTTTTTTTAAATAATAATATTCTTATAGTTATAATTAAAAACTAAAGGTAAAAAAAAGAGTAGTATTAAAATAAATAAAATAAATAATAAAAAGAATATATAAAAAAAAGTAAAAAAAGCTTATTTTTTTTAAAGATATTATAAAGATATTTAGGCTAAAAAGAAAAATAGTAAAAAAATAAAAGTATAAAAAGATTTTATATTTTTAAAAACTATTATATAAGTAATTAAAAGGAAAAGAAAAGGGAAAGTAAAAAATAGTAAAAAATAATAAGTTTATTAAAAAAAGGCAGCGTATAAAGTTTAAAAATAAGCTATATTTAATTTATTATAATGCTTTTTTAAAAATTCCTTTTTAGCTAATAATGTTTTCTTTTTAAGGCTTTAAAAACTAAGTAAGTAAAGTTTTTTTTAAAAAGAATTATTATTAATATTAAAAAAAAAAAAATTTAATAAAAAAGGGTATAATTAAACCCCTTTTATAGTTAAAATAGCTAGCTATTTAAAGCTAGCTTTTAAATAAATTACTAAAAATTAAAACTTTTTAATTTATAATATTATTAGCTTAATTAAACTAAACTTAAATATAAATAAATTATTAATTTTAACTAATTAACCTACTTAAAGCTTATAAACCTTTTTTCCTATTTTATTTTTAAAAACCTAATTATTTTTTTATTATTTTAATATTTATCTTATTTTTAATAATAATAATAACTATAACCCCTTTTATAACTTTACTTTTTTTTTACTTTACTTTTAATTAAAAACTAAAAAAATATTTATATTATTAAACAATTCTTTTAATAATAAACTAAAATAAAAAAGAAAAAATAAAGCTACTAATACCTTTCCTTTTTTTTTTTTATTATCTTTTTTATTTTTAAATTTTTATTTTATTTAAGCTACTTTAATTAAAAATAAAAGTATTTATATTTTCTTTAAACTACTTAGCCCTTTAAATCTTTCCTAAGTAAAGAAAACCCCTTTTTATAATATCTTTATAAATAATATTAATATTTATTCTACTTATAATAAAAATAAAAAGCTATATTTAGTTTAATAGTTAATAAATACTATTAATAAAAAATAGGTTTTTAAACTCTTTATTTTATTTCTTTTTAATTTTAATTAAATATAGCTTTATTCTTATATTAACTACCTTTTTATAAACAATATAAATAATATTTTTATTAAGTATATTAATAAAAGCTTATATAAAAAGTATATATTAAATATATATAGTAATATTACCTTTTATTAAAATTAATACTTTTTAATTATTTTTTTTAAATACTAAAACACTTTTTTTTATAATTATTACTTTAAATAAATAAATAAAAGCTATATATTAATAAAGCGCTTTAAAAAAGTATTTATTATAATTTCCTTTTTTAAATATAAAAGTTTTAAAAGTTTTATTAGTAATATTTATACTAATTATATTTATTATATTAAAAAATATTTTTATACTTTTAATAAATATAGCTATTTTTTCTTTATTTAATAAAATACTACTTTCTTTAATTAAAATTTTACTAATATACTTTTTATTAATTTAATTATTAAGATAAATATAGAAATTAATATAAAGTTTAAATTTAATAAAATATATAATAATAGATTTTTTAATATATAAAGTAGATATTTAATACTTATTAAAATAAAAAAAAAGGATAATAAACTATAAGAATAAAGAATTAAATATAAATTAAAATAGTATAATAATTATAAAAATATTACTACTTTTAAAAGTTTTTTTAAAATATATATTAAATAAAGTTAAAAAAAAAAAGTAATTATAATAATTTTATATAAAAAATATATTTCTACTCCTTTTAATATAACTTCTAAGGCTTTAATTAAAGCTTAAATATACTAATAAAATAATTTTTAAATTAAAAAAAATTTATATTTTAAAAAACTAATATATTATTTTAATTATAATAAAAATAATAAAAAAAAATATCTAGCTTACCCCTAAATAAATAAATTAAGCTATATAAATAAGAAAGGGCTTTTAAAAGAATTATAAAAGATTAAATAATAAAAAATATAAGAGTTATTTATTTAAATAAAGGCTTATACATATATTTAAAGATTATACTATAGCTTAAAATTAAATTTAAAAGTTATAGTGTATAATTTTATTTATAAAGTATTATATAAAAGTTTTAATTTACTAAAGTTAAATTTAAATTTAAAGTTATAAAAAGCTTTATTAAAAGTATAAATTATAATAAATTAATAAAATAATATATTAAACTAGTTTTAATACTAATTATTATTCACATTATTTAATATAATTATTATTAGTTTTAATATAATAAAATAAAAAAACTAAAAATAAAACTATTAA